GCGGGGTCATCACCTTCCTCCCAATGTTCTCGCTGAGCCACCCCCAGAACTCCGTAGAGGTTGTCCCTGAGGTTATGGTTATCGGCAGATTTCTGAAAATCACCATCAAGTTCCCGAACCAGGTTGAACTCGTTCACTATAATATCCACAACTACGGTTTAGATGCTGCGACCAGGGACCGTATCGCTATCTCAGTAGATAGGCAGCGAGCGACGGAAGCACCTTCTCGGATTGTCTTGGTTATCTCAGGGGATTTCAATGTGTCCGCCTTGGGGAGAGGTGTTCAATGGAAAACCGACAGACACGAGAGCAGCAGCAGTATATTTGCAACGATTTGGTTTTCAAGAGAGTCTTGCGGATCTTCCTCCTCCCGACCTCAATCTGATCAAGCGCGTCCTGCGGCACCTCCCCTCCAGTGCACCCGGCCCCGATGGATTGCCGTGCCAAGCATGGCAAGCCCATCCATGTGGAGCAGAGCTGCTGTATGAAGTGTTGCGCTGGATTTTGTCAGGCAACGGCATGCCCTACAACCTTAACGAGCTCAAAGGAGTATTCATCCCGAAAGAAGTGGCTAGCAGTGGTGGTGATGACGAGTTGATTCGAGAACCTCTAGCCGTGAGGCCCCTAGGCCTGAAAAATGCTGACTGTAAAATACTCACTAATGCTTGCGTTTACCAGCTTTCCCGTAAAGCCTCGGAGATCATCGACCCCATCCAGCGTGGGTTCGTCGCGGGTCGCAATTTTGGAGCCAACATTCTCGAGTTCGATGTCTGGAGCCGTGTCACTGGAATGCAAGAAGGGGCGGCAGCCCGTCTCCCTATCTTAGTTTCCTTCGACTATGGGCAAGCGTTCCCCTCGCTGGCCCACGCATGGATTTTCAGAGTCCTCGCTTCCCTCGGCCTCCCCTCCCCCCTCCTCTGGTTCCTGCAACTTATATGCACTAATCTCGCGTGTTCTGGACAGGCTGGTAGTGCGTCGGTCTTTTTGTTTTTCATAACGTCTGGGATCGTCCAGGGGTGTCCTGCCTCGGGGGTGACCTACGTTCTTTCGACGAACCCGTTCATGAAACAATTCAGAGCCCAGATAGATGCTCCCAAGAGAGGGATCACGCGCTGCTGTGCTGATGACGTGGGAGCCTGTCTCTTTTCCTTACCTGCTCTCAAGAACATTCATTTAACCTTTCGAGCGGCCGGTAGGGTTGCGGGCCTCAAGCTCAAATATAAGAAATGTTTTATAGTGCCTCTCTCAGATGCGATATCAGACGAGCTTATAGGACAAATTCGTGCCTGGATTGTGGAACACGTCCCCGCCTGGAGAGAATTTCAGATCGGTGCCAAATTAAAGTACCTCGGAGTGTGGATGGGCCCTAGTGTCTCTGAAGAGTCTTGGGCGGCACCGATTACCAAGTATCGGGAGAGATGCGCGCTGCTCGCCAAGTCTCGCCCATTCCCGACGGTTGCCTCTGTTCTGTATAACTCTCGTGTGCTCTCTGTCCTGTCCTATGTCTCTCAATCTCAGCTGCTCCCATCTTCCATGCATCAGCCGGAGCACGCGTGTCTATCATCGGTTTTTGCGGTCCCTTTCTGTCGGTTGGCCCGCAGTGATTCTTCAATTTGCACAGGTGGGGAGGGCCGAAATATCAGAGCGCCTTCATACAAAACCTGGCTGCTCTCATCCGCTGTGCCCTTAAAACGTTCCAAGAGTGGCACGAATATATGGTAGTGCTCAGAGATACAGCCACTCTGATGCTCCCGCTACCGCGTGTAGTTTCAGGTCAGTTGTCGCCCCCGTTCTGGCAGTCACGTGCTTTTGTAGAATACCTCGAGGAGGCGAGTAAAGGATTCCCACACTACCCTGCGTGGGCCGAGGGTGGTCGTCTCGCTGTTTCCGCTGGCCGTGCGGCCATGAATGGCCCCAAGCTCAAATTGCAGCGCGCGATAGGCAGAGTCTTGTATGAACATATTTATCCCGACACCCCTCAGGCCACCTTCACTCGTCGGCTCCGTTCCTGGTTTCCCAGGTCCCGCCATCAGATAGACAGAATAGTCTGGACTGGTGTCCGTGTGCAATTTCTCCGCATGCCTCCGTCCCAAGCCAATGCCGCCCTGAAGACCCTCGCAGGCGCTTGGACGTGCAGCGAAGCCTTTCAGGGGCAGCGGAAGTGCATGCTCGGCTGCCAAGCTCGTGAGTCGATTTCGCACTATTTCTCTTGTCCTCGATTCCTCGACCTCCTCGTTGGGCTCTGTGACCATCCGCTCGATGCCTGTCCGATTGCTCGCTTCGGTCTGCTCCGCCCGCCCCCCACCTCTCTCGCCTCTCTTGCTGCCGCCACTGTGCCCTTTAATACCTTGGATGCCGCCGCCGACCTGGACGGCATCAGCCAGTTCGAGGCGATGGCTGCGCTCCCGCAGGCCCGTGCCGCCCTGCGCCGTGTGGAGGAGGCTTAGACCCCGCGTCCGCTCTCTGGGTACGTGCCCGGAGGAGAAGGGGGAGGAAGAGGAGGACAAGGAGGCCAGCCAACGATATTGCCGGCTCAATGTCCTGGATGTGGCGGGGGATGAGGCAAAAGGATGAGGAGGGGCGCCAGAGTAAATCCAGGATGCGTCAACTCATGGCACCATCCCGTTCCAAGTCTCTCCCTCCTCCTGCTCCTCCTCCTCCTCTTCCTCCTCCTCGTCGTCCTCCTCCTCTTTCTCCTCCTCTTCCTCCTCCTCCTCCTCCCCCTGCTCCTGCTCCTGCTCGTCCACCTCCTCCTCCTCCTTCTGCTCCTCCTCCTCCTCCCTCCCAAGTGCCTAGGTGCAAGTGTATTCGTTCTTGGTGGGGAGCGCCCCTCTTCAATGACTGACGAAGCTGGGTGGTCCTGCCGCTCAGGCGACACCCCGCTTTGTAGAGGATCCACCATCTTCCTAGGCTTATGCCTTGCGTGTCCTTCTACAGGAGGCATCATCGAACCAAGTCCCAATACCAATCTTTTAATGCAATGTTCGATAATTTTTGATTGTTTGTTTTGCCAATTTGTATTTTTCCGTCCAAAGCACGCATGTCGGAGGACGTGTCCGACTTAATATGAGGTGAACGAAGCGCCGAGAGGCAGGCTGAGACATATAAAAACGTGTCTATCGGTTGTCTCGCTTTGAACGCGCTCAGCCCTCCATGTGTGCACACAGTGCGCAATTCCAAAGTTCTGGTCAGAAGGCTTATGCATTCAGTCTCAATCGAGCCCCAATAGTGAACGTAGTCGGCGGCGCAGCCGTAGCGGCAGCAATTCTAGTAGAGTTTTGGGTGCTCGACCAGAGTTCGCTTCCAGGTGGTGCCGAGCATGATGAGGACGAGCACGCATGAATTTTCCGATCTCCTGCTGTGGGCGTGGCGGATGACGAGGGAGGCAAGAAGAGAAGGAGGGAGAAGGAAAGGGCAAGGATGAGGAGGAGGAAGAGGAGGTGGACGAGGGAGAAGGAGTAGGAACGAGAGAGGAGGAGAGAGGAGGGAGGGGAAGTTGAGGGGGGGAGGGAGTAAGGGAGGGAGGGAGGGCAGGACGGATTGATGGAGCGATGGAGGGAGGTAGGTGTAAACCCAAGGCGAATCAACGATGTTACAATCAACCTGCCTTCAACGTTCCCTCTTCGTAGGTCGTGGACGAATTCAGGAATGTATTTTCATTGCGGGAAGTAGCCCACTAGAAGACAACCGTTTGAGAATCCACAAATCTGGTGGAACGCAGTTGCTGAGACTTCAACGCCGTGGATCAATCTGACTGTTGCGTCCTGACTACTCGTTGTGTCATCACATCGTTCCTGGGACTCCAACGCCACGAATCCAGGTGCATGTTGTGTCGTGGTCATCCTTAACCGTGTCATAGCACCATTCCAGGGTTTTTCAATCGTACGAACCCTTGAAGCGGCTATAGACTTACAAAGCACATGTGAGTGGAACTGAAGCGATGGCCACCTTTCGAAGAATTAACCGCTCTCCATCCGTGAAGCTGGTGCACACTCTTACCACGAATGTGCGCGGCGCAAAGGCGAGAGCCACCTTCTGACGCCGCCGCCCTCCCTGTGTCAAACTGTTTCAGACTTGTTAGCGAATGTGTTCGGCCCTCTGACGATAACCACATTTACCTTTAAGCTTCAGCATCATACATGATCGGCCCGCTTTCCCGGCACGCCTAGTGATGCGACAGGGAGGACTTGTTCGTAAGGGACACGGATGATGGAGGATGATGATGAGGAGGAGGAGGAGGAGAAGGAGGAGGACGGCGGGGAAGCGACAAATTGACTCCCGAGCTCCCGCCGCGAGAGGGCCTGGGTGGCGGTCCAAACATCTACCCCTGGACTTTCCAAGGGATGCGTTCTTGTTACAACTTCTTCGAAGAGGATCCAGCCGTAGCGACCAGGGGCTCGCCAGAGGCCCCACGAATGGTGAAGAGACGAGTAGCAATCTCGAAGTCCTGGGTGCAAGGATGCAGGATGAGGGAGGAGGGGGGAGGGGGAGGTTGGCACGGAGGCAGGAGGAGGAGGAGGAGGAGGAGGAGGAGGAGGAGGAGGAGGAGGAGGAGGGAGGAGGAGGAGGAGGAGGAGGAGGAGGAGGAGGAGGAGGGGAGGAGGAGGAGAGGAGGAGGAGGGAGGAGGAGGAGGAGGAGGAGGAGGAGGAGGAGGAAGGGGAGGAGGGGGATAGAGGGATGGAGGGAAGGAGGAGAGGTGGCAGGAGGAGGGATGGAGGAAAGAGGATGAAGGAGGGAGGGAGGCAGGCAGGGGCGGGGAGGGACGCAAGAGGAGGGGAAAATGAATGAGGGAGGCGGAGGGAGGTTGGGGAAGAGTGAGGAAGGGATGGAGTGAGTGAGCGAGGGAGGGAGGGAGGCAGGGAGGGAGGAGGGAAAGAGGGAAGGATCGACCCGAGAGCCCCCCTCGCCCTGGGCGCGGCGCCCGCAGGCGGCCGAGGGCCGCGCGCCGCGGCCTCCCCGAGGGCCCTCCGCGGCCAGCTGAAGGGTCCCCCCCCCGCGCATGGGGGGCCTGGGCCTCGGGCAGCCGGGGGAGCTGCCCGCTGGGGAGCCTCTGTGGCCAGTGTGCGAGGGGCAGGAACGCTTTTTTGATCAGATGCTCGTTTCGGGGACTCCTGTGCTGCTTCTCCGCTTGCTCGACCTCGTCACTTGGCCCTGGCAGAGGCCGTGGGTTCGCCCTCGCTCCGGCCCGGCTGCTGCCGCGGTCGCCGCTGCCCGGCTGGCCGCCCTGGCCCGCTCGACGCGGAAGTCTTCCACGTCTGAGTGCTTTCCCCTCCCCCTTCCTCTGCGCGGCCGCCCTCGTCTTTTTCCCTCTCTTGCACCCCGGCCAAGTATCCGTTCGGTTTCCCCGTATTGCCACACGGTGGAGCGGACTGCCTCTGCCTCACCGCTGGCGGAAAAGTGAGGGGCAAGAGCGCCTTTTTCATGATATGCTCGTTTTGGTGACCTTCCTGGGGCCCACTTGACGGATTGATTTGTTCGACTCCAGTTCGGCCCCCGTTCGACTCAAGTTCGACTCCAGTTTGACCCAGGTTCGACCCAGGGTCGACTAGGAACGACGGACGTTGGACGCAGCGTTGACGCACGAGTGGGGTGAGGGGCTCCAGGGAGGTTCCCAGGATGAGCAGGCAACCTTTTTCACAGGACCCAGAAATCGGGGCGTTGCAGTTTTGTTGCTCCATGCGTTTTCGTTACCAAGCTCTTTTTCTCTCCTGTTTCGGGCTCTGGGGCCATCACATCTCGGTTCGGCTCGAAAGCTGCCGCATCAAGATGGGGTCCAGGGCTCCGGTCGTGCTTTCTTCGCGGTGCTTCTCTTTTTCGCAACGTCGGATCTCATGTGAGGGCCATGTGAGCACACGGTAGGTCTTTTTAAGAGGAGGGCGTCCAGGAGCCCCCCTCGGCGCCACGGCTGGACGCAGCTCGGAAAATCGGTGCTTGAACCCCAGGAGGGTCCAGGAGCGATTTCAAGTTGCCGCTGTGGCCAGAGTGCGAGGCGCAGGATTCCGCTGTGGCCAGCAACATTGCGTGGCTCCTCGTCCTCCTCCTCCTCCTCCTCCTCCTCCTCCTCCTCGTCTGCCTCCTCTTCCTCGTCCTCTTCCTCTTCCTCCTCCTCCTCCTTTCCCTCGCGCTGCAGATCGGCGCCTCGTGGTCTCAAAATGGACAGCCGTGGTGGTCTTTCATGCTCCTCCCTTTCACCGGTGCTTCGTTGTAGGGATCTTCCAGGTCATCGGTAGTCCCTAGTAATCATTTCCTGCAATGTCACCTGGCCGTGTCGGGATCTCGTCCTGGGGAGCAATATGTGTGTGCCCTCTCGAGGGCGTGGCAAGAACGACTGTATCGCTGGCACATGCTCAGGTTGTTACACTCCGTTTTGCCTGTCTTGGGCCACGTTGGCTCTATGTTGCGAGATCCTGGCAGAAAGATGGACCAAGGTAGTCGAGAAAGGTGGCGCACCAGGGGAGGTCCGATCCGTGCGACGAGCAGGTTCTGTGAGGCTTGAGAAGAATTGCGCAACAAATTTTACAGTTAGCACTTTGACACGGCCTCATTCCACGCACTCGGTGCCCAGGGGGCACGGGGGCGGATAGGAGTAACCATAGGAGTAGCTGATAGTTTTCACGTCTGGAGACGCTCAGGTAATTCTTAAGCTATGCCATAGAAATAGCCACAGGGTTAGGGTCATTGGTAGCAAGAGAACAATAGGAATAGCTGATCGCTTAGAGGGCATAATATTTAATACACTCAAGCAATGCTTAAGCAATCTAGAGTGGGAGCTGTACGAGTAAGGTTAGGAGTAGCTATATGAATAGCTGGTAACTTTTGAGGGCAGGACACAGGCAGGCAGCTATTCAGCAATTTATCGGAATAGCTATAGGAATACAGTTCAGGAGTAAGCTATAGGAATGTGTACAATCGACTATCATGCCTCAAAATAAATGTAGGGTGGGGCGGGAGTTTGGAGCCATTTTGGTAAGTTTTTGTTGTCATTATTGTGTTTTTTTGCGATGGCGCCATGGTGTCCCCTGCGGTCTGATACTTATACACAGCCTGCATTGGTTGACGAGGGCCGACGTCGAGCGGTGGTTATTCGTCAAGCAATTTGTCGGATCAAGTGAGTGATTCATCAGATTTGTTGCGTTTGTTTCGCTTGTGTCTGTTGTGGTCGCTGCACCGAAATGCACCGTTCGACCCCAAACCACTGGGTGCGATGCAGAATCTTCGGGTCGCAGCAAACATATAATGCGGATGCTGCCCCATTGTTTGTTGACTTCAGTCGGACATTTGATGGTCGCATGCAGAAATTGGAGGACCGTATGCAGAAATTGACTGATCGTGTGCAGAAGCAGGAGGATCAACTTGTGGGCGTGACCTGAAGAGTTCACACGGCCCTATTTTCGATGCGAATGTGCGCCGAAATTGCACACATCTATTGCGGGAAAGATGAACACTGATCGTGCCCGATGATGCCACGATCAAAGTTTCGCTAATGCATCCCACAATCGCGTTTTTTGATCAATTCCTCAATATTTTCAAAACTGATGGTACCCGGCTGAGAACATGTTAGGGACAGCATTCACAATCTGTTCCTGGCTAACCCCACAAGGCTCAATCACAGAGGAAAGCTTATCGCAATGCGCGGCATGGAGGCAGATTGTGTGGCCAGCGCAATTCGTTTTCACACAGTCAACAGCCGCGCCTTCGTGCAAGTACTATCGTTGGAAATGAAGGCGAGCGCAAGTCTTGAGAGTGTCATCCAAAGCAATTGCGTAGTGTTTACTTGCCCCAGCCATCCTCCAGTGGGTTGCATCTGGTCAACATGTGAAAGCATATTAGTCCGCATTAAGCGTCGCAAGGTTTTGCAACACAGTCCAGGAAGTGAAGTTGTTCGAGATCAAGAAGCGCCGTGCGGGCACAGACAGCCGCCAAGGCCACACAATTTCTGTTGGTTTCTGGACCCATGTTATGTGTGCACCACAGGGATGCAGTACACCAATATTGTTCCGATGCGGGTTCGTTGGTCAGCTTTGAAGAAACAGTGAAATTATGCCTTACGTATTGCAATCTTGATTGACCCGCTGGGTATTTTCTTTTCCAAGGCTACAAGAAAGCGATGTCAGTCCACTTCCAATGCGTACCAAGCAGTGACATCTTATAAGGACTTGGTTCCATCGACTGACAGAATTCAACATGAACGATTTGAGGCTTCACTGAGCTTGCTTGCAAGTCTCACGACAGCAACACATGTGAACATTGGCACATTCACATACAGCAAGTGAACGCGTGGTGAAGCAATGCTGTGCTGTTTTTTTGCACATGTGGTTGATCTGTAGAACGTAGCTTTCTAGGATGCAAAAAGAGTCAATCCTTGCTCCCCTTCGGGGGTCTTACTTTCAGCGGAGAAGGTCTCGTCAAAGGTTGGGCCAAGATAACCACACAAACAATCAATAAGTTATGCCTCGGAATACAATTACGCCAAGAAGTGTTTTGTATGATTGGTTTACTTTTGATTGGAACGGACTCTGTTCGATTTGCTTCGACGTTGATCTGATGATGTTGATATTGACGAGCGAGAGAGGAGCGAGACAGGAGCGAGACAGGAGCGAGACAGGAGCGAGACGGGAGCGAGTGAGCGAGAGAGGATCGAGAGTGGAGCGAGGCAGGAGCGATACCTTTAAACGCCTATTTTTTTCAGTTTCTGAAGGGTGTGCGTGCGACAGTAACCGCTTGGTCCCCTTTGGAACTTAATTATCTTGGATCTCTCGAGGGGGCCTGGGCGTGCGGTTCCCCTTTCCTTTTCCTCCCCCTTTCTTCATCCCTCTCGTCGAGGGCAACGAGCACGCACATCTTGCATATTCAGTGAGGAGTTGGGAGTGTGACCTCGAAGCGCATGTGACCGAATACGCAGGTTTGTCTTAAGGATGTCGGGCGTCACTTAAGCAAGGTTCTGATGATGCGGCCGTATCGTGCACAACGCGCCGCAGGAGGGAGGAACGTAGTTCTTCCTTTCCGTCCAATGTTCTGGGAGGCATGCAGACGCATACAGTAGGTTCGCGTCGTGTCGACCAGTGCCGACCCCGCCGCTGGCGTTCAACGCTGGACGCCGCTGGCGACCAAGAATCGGTCGATGTTCAACGATCTTTCGTTTCGGAAACGGCCGATCGTTCAAGGTGGTTGAGTGATCCCCGCGGTGTCAGAAACCAACGGCGAAGTCGGCATGGCACGAACCTGCCGTGCGTGCACCGCAGTGCCTCACCTTCATCCGAACGACGTGCGCGCAACGGGCGGGCTGCGCCGACCTCCGTGGGCAAGCTGCCCGCACGAGGTCGCGCGCGTGCGCCGTCTGCTGTGCAGCGCCGGCGGCCTTCGAAAGCTACCGCGTGAGGTCAACTCGGGCGACGCAAGTCATGCATAGCCACTGCTTCCTGGCCAGGCCCGTCCTGAACCCAGGAGCTGTGTATACGCCCTCCTGGCCAAGCCTGGAGGGCGTGGCGTATACAACGCTGCTGGGTTCAGGACAGGCCTGGCCAGGGAGCAGTGGACAAGTATAGGTTTCGTCGCCCTGTTCCCATGTTCTCGAGCTGAGACCCCCCTCTCTTTTCGCCGCCCACGTGGCGCTAGCAGAGCCCGTGTGCACAGGAGCCCGAGATCGTCCAGACGGTGCCCGAGTTTTTGGAGGCTCTACTATGCACGGCGCTTTGCGTCTGCCCGGCACGGTCGTGTGGCCGAGCGTGCCGAGTCGCAGCCCTCTCGGTGCTGTCAGGGGGTCGTTCGAAGGCCGGGGCGGCTCTTCAGGATCCTCTCCGGGTACTTGTCCGACCTCCTTGGAGGCCTCATTTATGGTCTCCTTTGCCATCGTGGCGATGCTGAGGTGCTGATGACTTGCAACGGTACGTTGCGTTGGAGCTAAGCCTGGTTCGTGGGCCTGGTGGGATTTGGCAGGGGCTAGTAGTGGCCAGAGTTTGCAGCTGGCGGTGGCGCCAAGCAGGGCTACTGGGGCTCATGAGGCTAGGCGTGGGCACATTTCGGCGGCGAGCCAGGGGGGAAGTGAGAAGGGGCGGGCCTTCTCAGAAGGATCGGAAATTCCCCAGCGGTCGGACAATTTTTCTAAGCCTTCCCTGAAGACGCAGAAAACCTTTCAGATGGCCAGAGGCCTTTGAGAAGCCCCGCCGCCTTTGAGAGGGCCTTCTCCCTCTCACATGCCCCCCTCGCTTGCCGCCGAACGTACATGTTGGTTTCAGTAGCGCAGCAGGGCCAGTTGCGTCAAGCTCGGCTAACGATGGGCTGATTGAAGCTACTGGCTACTGTCAGCAGCTCGCGTTGGAACAGAGCAGGGCTGATCGGCCTAGTGTGGCTGGATAGAATATACTCCAGACTCGTGTCGCGTGTCGTCAACCGTCGTTGGCGACAGGCGCGGCTACCAGGGTCAGCAAGGATGTGCAGGGGCTGGTTTGGGCAAATGACGTTCCCAGGATTGGCTCATGGGGCCAGTTGGGCTGGCCAGGGGCTATGTTTTGGTCGGCGACCACCGTTTGCGTAGAGTGGGGTCAGGCAAAAGCCAGCAGGGGCTGGTGTCGACAGTCATCGTTGTCGGCAGGCACGGCTGCTTGTCATGGTGGGATCAGGCAGGAGCTAGTAGGGGCAGTTGTCCGCAACTGGTGTTGGCAGTAGCCGTTGCTGGAGGATCTGGTGGAACTGGCAGAGGCTGGTAGCCGCCGTTTTCGAGGGGTCGGCGCAAAGCAGGGCTCTTCAGTTAAAGGTGGCCAACCATGTACTCTTAGAATTAGCGTGGCCAGCCAGCGCTGGCGCTTGGCAGGGTTAGGGCCTAGCTAATGGGGGCTGGTTTCAGCCACGGGGCTAGCGTCGGCAACCAGCTTCGGCGCCAAGCGCTGTCAAAGGTGCAACGAACTCGGGGGATACGGTCGGGAACTTTTGGATGGCGTTTCGCTCCGCCGATTCTGGCCCACCACGCTTTGGTGCGACAAGCTATCCATATCCTGGTTTGCGCCCCGTGGAGCGGAGCGACACGCTATCTACTCGCAGGGCAGCGTGTCGCCGGGGCCTCCGCCGCGACATTGCTGAGCAAACGTTCCTGACCGTAACAGAGCTCATGTTTGACAACCGGCCTTTGTGGCAAGTAGACTAGTGGGCTGCTAGAGGTTCGGCAGTGGCGAGTAGCATCCAGAGTGGAAACTTTGTGATGTGGTCAAATAGGGTTAGTGGGATTGGTGGGGCTCAGCACTGGCCAGTGGGGAAGTGGTCCTCGGAAACAGCGTCCTGGGATCGAATTGCTCCAGTCGGGGTCGTCGAAGAGGGGGTTGGGGACTGTGTGTGTGTGTGGACATCATGGCCTGGGAGATGCAATCGCCCAGATTTCATGGCTTTTTTTTTTCCCCCCCATGCATCCCCGGTTCCTCTCCCTCCTCCTCCTGCTCCTGCTCCTCCTCCTCCTCCTTCTCCTCCCCCCCTCGTCCGCGCACATGCCTCGGGCCACGATGCGCCAGCACCCCTCTCCTGGCCCGCCTCTTCGGCTCGCACACCGTCATTGGCGCCATCGGACACCACGAAGGTGTCTCGGCAGATTCCAGCCTCACTTGGACAGGCTTGTCGTGCTGCCGCGTGGCGTAGAACTGCTGGGACAGCAGGGCGCTATCCCATCGGTGCTCAGCAAGACCGTGTCCCAGTCTCAGGATATGAGGGGCTTCCTCGCCAACATTCCGAAGGAGGACCTGGTGGGAATTGAATCGGCTTGTCCCGAACGTAGAGAGCAGCAACTTAAGACCCGTCTACAGTGATTCCTTGCTCCTTTGCCTTGCCCTCCCCTTTCTAAGCTTTTGTGGGTGTTGTATTTTGTGTTTGGTTTGTTCCTAGCCACGCTGTAGTATGGGGTCCTCGTTATGAGCCTGCAGCGCGTCGTGTCTCCTCTCCTTCCTCCTCCCCAGCCTTCTTCTACCATCCCTTTCCCTCGGACCCCATTTCGGCGCACTCCTCATACGCTTCGTGGCCGTGCAGGGAGCACCCCCAAAGGCTGAAATGGGTGCGTTCACGCTGCCCCCCCCGTGTAGGACGAAAAGGAGTAGGACGACGAGGAGGAGGAGGAGGAGAGGAGGAGGAGGAGGAGGAGGAGGAGGAGGAGGAGGAGGAGGGGGGAAGAGAAGGAGGAGGAGGAGGGAGAGGAGGGGAGGAGGAGGAGAGGAGGAGGAGGAGGAGGAGGAGGAGGAGGAGGAGGAGGAGGAGGAGGAGGAGGAGGAGGGGAGGAGGAGGAGGAGGAGGAGGAGGAGGAGGAGGAGGAGGAGGAGGGTTCGGCACATCCCTCACCCGTTTCGTGGCTCCGCTCTGAGCTTCGCCTGAAGCCACGGTGGGTGCGTCCGCGTGCGGGCCCCTGCCCGTTTCGGCCCTCTCCTCACTCCGTCTCGTGGTTCCGCAGGGAGCTCCATCAGAAGGACACCGTGGCTGCGTCCACGTGCGGCTCCGCACCCAGTTCGGCACACCCCTCACACGTTTCGTGGCCCCATGTGGGGGCTCAACCTCAGGCCCCAGTCAGTTGGTCCACATGCGGCTCCCCGCACATTTCCTCACGGTTTTCGTGGTTCCATAGGGAGCTCTGCCTCAGGCCCCCGTCGGTGCGTCCATGAGCGGCTCCCCGCCCTGTCCCGCACACCCCTCACACGTTTCGTGGCCGCACTCGGGGCTCCACCGATGGCCCCAGTGGGTGCGTCCACATGCGCCCCCTGCCCACTCCACCCGAGGCCCCAGTGGGCGCGTCCACATGCGCACATCTCGGCACGCCCCTCACTTGTTTCGTGGCCCCTATCGGGAGCTCCACCCGAGGCCACGCTGGGTGCGTCCACGTGTCTGGACGCCCGAAATGGGTACGGAAAAATGGGTACAATGCCCAACAGACAATGTTGCCCCAAACCAACAGCGGCCGCTGGTGTCTCAAATGGACACAGGCCGCGGTAGCGCGGACAGCGAGTCCTGTTCAAAACGAACAGGAACTGCTGTTGGGCATTGTACCCATCCTTTACGTACCCACTTCGTTCGTGCCGAACATGCGGCTCCCCGCTCGTGTCAGCATTCCCCTCAGACCTTAGGTGGCCCCATAAGGGAGCTCCACCTCGGGCCACCGTGGGTGCGTCAACACGTGGCTCCCCGCCCATTTCGGCACACGGCCTCACGCGTTTCGTGGCCCCATGGGAAGCCACCATCTTTCGTATCACCCTCTTACTGACTCACCCTTTCGTACCTCTGGATTCTTCACCATGATAGTCTTGGTCTTCCATCTCGTACGCTTCGTTCGTTCTCTCGCTTTCTCTCTCTTTCTCTATCTCTCTCTCCCTCTCTATATTCACATGATTATTTTGGTGTTGTAAAGGGGATCGTGCATGTATCCGCTGAAGGCTGGTTCGATGTCTGTTTGGCTTGGTGTGGCCAGAGGACGCTGAGAGCTTCAGAGCACGCCTCTGGCACTACGGCGTGGTTGGCAAGGAGAAAGAGATCAAGCGGGGAGACAAGAAACAGTCCCTCTGGGAGACGGCGCAGAGCTTCCGGAAGCAGGAGGACGCCGGGGAGATCCCGCCGAATGCCCCCGTGTACATGTCGGAGCTGAGATGGATGAAGAAGGTCCGCCACCCCGTTGTGCCCGACGAGCACGTCAAGACGTCCACGTCTTGTGACATATTCGGTTGCCTGCGGCCTCTCCGCCTTCATCCTCACGTGTAAGCTTCCTACGGGGTTCCGCGGAACTGGGGCTGCAGTGGGTGAGCCTCCGTGGCTCACTGGAGAGCCAGGGGTGATTCGAGGGTCCTCCTCCTCCTCCTCGGGCCATGCCAGTCCCAAGCGGTTGTTAGGTGTTCGATCATGGACCCCTTGCTGGGAACGCAGCCCTCTGGCTTTCGCGCCGAGGGCCGCCAGAAGTTGCCGAGGACCATTGGAAACCGCCGAAGACAATCGAAGACAGCCAAAACACTCAGAATGCCGCCGACGACCGCCGACGACCGCCGAAGGCTGCCCAGGGCCGATGTAACCAGGGGTCCATCTCGTAGAAGGGGTATTGGAATTGGCAGGAGACATTCGCGCGCGTTCCCCACCGCATCCCACCGCGTTCGTTGGGCGGAGCGTGCGGTGGTGCGGGCCCGCACCCTGCGAACGAGTCCATGTGTGGCAGTTTGTTTGGCTCTGGGTGGGCTTAGCCAGAGAGTCCGTGCCCTCGGGGATGTAAATCACAGGATTCATAGTGCGCCACCCTGGGCGGGATGATCGGTGGGATGCTTCGGATTGTTCAGCGGGCCGTAGTCATCGTTTTCTTTGTCTCTGCTATCCAGCTGCCTGCGGCAAGTCCCACCACTGGAAGCGCAGCATTCTGGGTGGCGACTGTTCGAGGGTGGTAGAGCCGTGATGATGGTGATGACGATGCAGCTGCTGGTGATGATGAAGATAACGACAACGATGCTGATGATGATGATGCTGGTGATGATGAAGTTGATGATGATGCTGATCATGCTGATGCTGATGATGATGTTGATGCTGATGATACTGATGCTGTTGATAAGGATGCTGCTGCTGCTGCTGACGATTATGCTTTGCATGCTGCTGCTGATGATGATGAATCTGGTGGTGGTGGTGTTGATGATGATGGTGATGGTGAAGGTGCTGCTGCTGATGATGATGATGCTGGTGTTGATGATGAGCTTATGATGATCAGTATGACAATGACGATGATGATTATGATGATGGAGGTGGTGGTGACGATGATGACGATGATGGTGATGCGGTATCTGCTACTTAGTATTATGCTTAGGATGATAATGTTGATGTTGATGATGCTGATGCTGATGATGATGATGATTATGTTTATGATGCTGATGCTTAGTATTATTATCATTTTCAGACTGATGATGCTGACGCTGATGCTGCTGATGATGATTAGTATCATTATGATTAGGATGACGCGGATGCTGATGCTGATGATGAGCTTATGATGATACTTATGGTGATGACGACGATTCTGATTATGATGATGATGGTGGTGGTGATGATGCTGATGATGATGCGGCTGGTTTTGCAGATTACCAGTCTGCTTACTATGATGACGCTGTTGATGATGGCGTTGTTGACGATGATGACGATGTTGATGATGATGATGATTATTCGCAGTATCATTTCTAATTTTATCATTAATCATATCATTATTATTATGATTATTCGTGTGACGAAGCTGATGCTGATGTTGATGCTGATGAGGGTGATGATGATGACGATGCTAATGATGATGGTGCTGTTGCTGACGATGCTGATGGCGAAGCTGACGAGTATGATGATGATGCTGATGCTGATGATGAATACGATGCTGATGATGCTGATGATGATGCCGTGGATGCTGATGATGAATATGGTCCTGCTGCTGATGATGATGATGCTGCCGATTATGATGATGCTGATGACGCTGATGATGGTGATGATGCAGCTGATGATGCTGATGATGCTGATGATGACGTTGATGATTAGTATACTGATGATGCTGATGATGTAGATGATGATGCTGGTGCTCATGCTGAGGATGATAATGATAGTGATGATGGTGATGATCGGGACCCAAGTCTGCCACAAGGTGTGCCAGTCGAGCACGCCTAGCCACGGCCGAGTGTGACCTCTCTGCAACGCGCGCAAGCCCGCGCCGCTCAAAACGACGCCTCCCACGGCGAACAGTTCGGCGGCGGTGAGCGGGAGCGCTTTGACCCACAGGAAAGGACCCGACGGCGATGTTGAATTCGCAGGTGGTACAGCGCTTTCTTCAGCCCAGCTGTAGCCACTCCACCTCTGGGTCGCCCACCTGCAGACGATGCGGCGCCTCGAGGATCTTCTCGCCAGTGGGGTGCCGCCCTCCGAGGAAACGCTGGATGCGGTACTGTCTGTTGCTGCCGCTCACGCTGTCCTTGGAGTCGCAGGATATCAGGAGGTGCGTGGAAGAGTACAGGCCGCACTTCTGGCACCATGATGCCGCCGCCGACGAACACTATGTGCCCTTCTGGCCACCGCAGCTGAGATGGCATCGCCTACGGCGGTGGGGCGACTGGTGGTACTCGATCTTCAACTGACCTCTTGTCATGCCGTTGCTTCTTGAGCGGCGGATGCTGGTTTGACCGCTTGCCACTCGGCGTCTCGCCCTCCACTCAATGCTGCTCTGCCCGCGCTGGCTGCGCTGAGTGTTGCCGCCGCTATCCTCGTCAATGCGCTCGCCCTGCTGGGTGTGCTGGCCCATCCTCTCGATGCTGAGCTGCGCCGCCGCCGCCAGAAGGGCTGCCGCGGCGATCGCCGCCTGAGGTGTTGTCGTCGTCGCAGGACTGGTTCTAGGCCGCATCCTTACGCGTTTGGGCTTTGCATCGAGTGAAACGTCTGGGCCAGGACGCTTCAGGGATGAGCCCACTGCACGGTGCAAGTCCACCTTGACCTTCACCTCGCTCTTCGCCCTTCCCCACGTAATGGACCCCTGCAGATTCCTCGTGGGGTACCCGCTGCGGAGTCCTCAGATTTGGCTTGGTAAGCAGCGCGTGCCACCGAGGTCCCGTCGGCAAGACGTGACGACACCAGTGAGCTTGTCGCCGTGATCCACGCCGAACACCTCCTCGGGTTCCTTCGAGGCGGCGGACCCGTGGGAGGAGGTTGCCGTTGCCAAGCTGGGCTGTTGATCCACCTCCTCAGCGTCCTGTGCTTGACGTTGCGGATGTGAGCCGCCACGTACCCTTGCGCGCTGGACAGGGTACTCAGCCAGGCCAACTTGCGCAGGCGGTACGGCTCCCCGCGTTGCCACGCCCAGGCACAGATTTCTCTGGCCAGCCGATCTGTGACCCTGCCGGTCCTCGCTCCCACGCTGTCGAAGCGGCTGTCCTGGAGCATCTCGGTGACACGCGGCACGCACCAGTTTGTCCAGCCGATTTCTGTGTCGGACCCCTCGCCGAGGCCCGCGTCCATGATCCACCGCCTTCGGTGGCGAATCATGCGAGCTTGGTATACCCTCTTAACTTTGTCCTTAGCGTCGATTGGCATCTGGAGTCGCTGAGATAGCGCCGACTTAGCGCCGGCTAGCGTCGATGAGCGTCGATTTAGCGTCGATTTGCGTCGATTTAGCGTCGATTTAGCGTCGATTCGCAAGAGCCGACAAGATGGTATGGGAGGCTCCCATGAGTTGCCACCGAAAGCGCCTGGCCCAGTGATTAACAGTCTTCTCGAGGACTTGGGCTGGGCTCTGTTTGCTTACAGGTTTCCCCGACGAGTTTGGGCCGATCCACCGCCAAAGATCGCTGCGATCGGGTGGCTGCGGCTGCGGGGAGCGGTCGTCGAAGCAGCGCCCGCAGCGCCTCGGTGAGCCCGTCGTGATCCAGCGGCTCCGTCTCGCCGAACCTGCGTCTGAGGGTGCGCCTGCCAGTGCCGCCTGCACTCCACGCGCATAACTCTGCCCGTGCGCGGCCTCTCCACGGTGTCGCTGCCGTCCTCGAACAGGCGGTCGAGGGCCGCCGTGCGCATGATGTGCATGTGTGCACACGGGGGACGCACCACCTCCTCCAGTCGACTCCGTCGTGTGCGCCTTCCCCGCTGGCACTGGGGTCGGGGACCCATAGCGTGGACCACACGCGCGGCGCTCTGGAGAGCACTCTACGCTCCACACTGGCGGCCTCGGACCTCCCCGCGGGCGGCTCCTCCATCGGGATCGGCTCCTTCCCTTCGCCGTTCACGCCCACGCTGGTGCTGGTGAGGTCGTCCCTGTCCTCGCCGCCTGCAGCGCCGCCGCCCGCTTCTGGAGGGGCTGTGGGGCCGGCGGATGGCCGCAGCTGCGTTCCCGACCGCACCGCACGGCCTCCGCAGGGTGCCGCAGCAGAGGCTCCAACGATGAGCTGGATCTCAGCACGCCTCCTCGCAGCTCTCCTGCTTCTTGGTGCTGTCCTGGACGCTGCGCTCCTCGCTGGCCGTCCACCGCGCTCAGGGCAGCTCCTCCTGTTGGCTCCTTTGCCTGCGCCTGAGGGCTCATCACTGGGTCGTCGGGTGGCCGCAGCTGCGTTCCCGAGTGCACCCTCGGCATGGGCCTCGCTCGCTGACGCCGCCGAGACTTGGGCCCCACAGCGTCGCTTATCCAGCGCCTTTGCACTCTTTCCCGTCCTGGGTTGCCTCTTGCACCATGAGCAGCTCCACGTGCGCCCTGCCAGGTGCATGGTGTGACAGTCGCCAGGGTGCGGGGTGGGCACTGGCCGCGCCTGGGCGTCCTGCTTGTCGCCGAACTTTCTGCCTCGCCAGGCGCGCCGCTCTTCCTTCTTAGTGGACGGCACCCTGTCGGGCTGCACTTGTCTGCGTTTACGCCGTTGACGCGTAGGTGCCTGTGCATGCGAGTGGATCCCCTCGCCTGCTCAAATATTTGGCCTCCTTGCGCGTCAGGACCTGAGAGCGCGTCCAGGCCGTTGTTGGCATCTTGGGTGTGTGTTGCGTGCCCGTTGGTGGACTTCAGGCCATTCGAGAGTCTTGGCACCAGTGAAGGGGTTCATGGGACCGTCCAGAGAGGTGTTGGAGGCATTCGGGACGGGTTTTGTTGCCATCGTGGGTTGCTCGTTGACCTTCTTGGAGCTGTCTCTGGGAGGTCGTAGGCCGTCTTGAGGCCGTCTTGAGCCGGTCTTGGGGCAGCCTTGGGCGTTCTTGGGTGTGTCTTGGGGTGCTTTGGGGGGCCTCTTTTGGACTCACGGGAGGCCAGCGTCCCAGGGTCGTCCAGCTCCTCCGGTCAGTGAGAGCGACACGAAGGAGCCGAGCAGAAGCCTAACCTTGACGGCGCATTGGCAGGCCAAGTGGTAACTCGTGCGATCGGGGAAAGGTGCAGGGCTTCAGCGTGCCAGCGCGCGGGCATCGCCAGGCCTCGGATTGCAGTGTGCCTTCTGTCAGCAAGGGCTCTCCATGATGATCTCGAGCGCCGCACTGGCTTCGGTTTTTCCCTGGGTCTCGATTCGATTCCCCCCCACATATTTCCTCCTCTTTTTTCATTGTGGCTCCTTTCGAAGCGGGCAGAGGCTTGCACGCCCCAGCGCATTTGTCTTGACTGAGTTGGCGCGATCATCTCGAAGGGTAGACTGCGAACTCTGGTGCTCTTCGCGACCCTGGGCGTGCCCACTGCGAAGGGGGCCTGGCGGATTCGACGTGACCCCGCTTGCGAGACTGATGCCGTTGTGGGAGCGCTCTGAGGGCGGGATCTTCATCGGCGAGCGTGGCACAGGCTGGCCTGCTTTGAAATGCCTCCTCCAGTACAGAGTTCGGTGCATGTTTTAGGGGTCGTACGTGCCTGAAGTGCATGGCTGCCACGTGGTGCCGGCCCCAGGGACGAGGGCCCCTGGCAAGATCGTCTGCTGTTCTTCTCCGACAGTTCTTTGCCACTCCGCTTCTCACATCTACCCTCCTTCCTCCTTCACCCTACCCTTACCCTCTTCCTCCCTCCCTCCTCCATTAACTTTTATACATCTCGCATTGCATGTTCTTCAGACACCACATTCCTGAGGCCACGGCCTCGCCCACCTGGTCTTAGCTAGGCCCAGACGGCGTCCGCAGCGGTGGTCGTACCTGGCGTACCTGGCGTATCACCCTCTTCCTCTCCAATTGCGCAACATGAGTACTACTCTCCCCTTCCCCCGGGTATGTGCTGACAGTGGCCGCCCCCTCTTCCGCGTACGTTTTTTCTATACATTTTTGGCGCGGCCGAGCTTCTCTTCTGTGTCTTTTCACGCCGATCCTTTTGCGTCTTGGTTTTTAACAACGGATTTGCCTGAACTGGCTATTCACTAGTTTTTTTACGATTGAAGGTTAGTACAGGCTTTCACAACTGTTGCGTGCGCTGCAGCTCGGTTCGCATTTTTGGATTCGCGCTGTGTTCCCGTGCTTCAACATGGCGCTCCCGCCCCAGCGTGGGCCACTTTTCTGGATCCCACAGGTCTCGCAGGCACCACAGTGTCCAGCCCATTTCGCCTGAGACATCCTCGCAACTCTTAGCTCCGAGATGAGGCGTGCAAAGTGGTACAGCCCAGTGGCTCATCCCTCCTCCCGCATTCCCTACCTCCCACCTGCCTCCTCCTCCCTCCTCTCGCCTCCCGCCTGCTGCGCCTCTGCCTCCGCTTCCTCGTCGCCGCCTTTGGTCATTTCTGCCGCTATGGATCGTGCGGTTTTTCCCTAATCAGAGCCTGCCTCTGTAGGGGTCCTCGCGGATTCATATGGTTAGATGAGGTGGGTCGCCGATTTCGGTGGCCCGCCCGGGTGCCCGGGTGCCCAGGTGTCTGGGGGTGCCGTGGGGTGCCCGGAGGTGCCCAGGGGTGCCCGGGTGCCCGGCTGCCCGGGTGCTCAATCGCCATATAGCCCTATAGCCCTATAGCCACATAGCCTTGTAGCCAAATAGCCCTGTAGCCCTATAGCCCTATAGCCCTATGGCCCTATAGTCCTATAGCCCTATAGCCCTGTAGCCCTACAGCCCTGTAGCCCTATAGCCCGATAGCCCAATGCCCCAATAGCCCAATAGCCCAATAGTCCATATAGCCCATATAGCCCATATGGCCCCATAGCCCTATAGCCCTATAGACCTATAGCCCTAGAGCCCTACAGCCCTATAGCCCTACAGCCCTAACAAATGATTGGGGCTTTTCTTGGGTATCATTGCGATTTGTGCAGCTCCTTCGGCCCGCACGGCACGTGCATGCCGTTTCCGCATCTCCGATAAAATGCAATCCGCGCGCAGGCGTCGCCCTTGTTGCCACTGTCGGGAACACTACAGCCAGAGCACAGTATGTCCGCACAGTATTTTTAGAACGCATGATGGTTTCCAACCACGTGCGCACGTCTACCCCGTGCGAGAGAACATGGCGCTTGTAACATGTAGGGAGCTTGTACCAGGTTGTGGGCCACATCGTCTGTCATGCGCCCACGGACAGCCCGTGGGCCCACGTCTCGGGAGGTCCGCGGGCCCACGTCTCGAAACAAAAATCGTGACGCCGGATGTCTGGGGAGGGCGGAAGGCAGGTCCGCGCATGGCAGATGCCAGGTCCCACAGGTCCCGCAGGTCCCGCCAGGGCCAGGGGTCTCAAAGGCCTTCCAGGTCTCACAGGTCCCACAGTTCCAACAGGTCCCACAGGTCCGACAGGTTCCACAGGTCCCACAGGTGTGGCAGGTCTCACAGGCCCCACAGGCCACTGAGGTTCCCCAGGTCGCACAGGTCCCACAATTTGTTTTTCCGACTGCTCATAACATAATGGGGTCTTTATTGGGAGTTCCAGGTCGGCTATGACGTGTGTCCGTGGATAGAGAAACAGCGGCGCAATGGGAAGGGATGGGAGGGAGGGATAGGATGTCAGATATGGCGCGGGCGCACCTAGCTTGCCCTGCCCACTCCCTTCCCCCTCCCCAGAGCGAGCGCCGCTTTCCGACCGACGTCGGGCGCGAGCGACCGCTGGTCGGAGCGCTGAGCGGAGCGTCAGCGTAATGCCGCCCGCCTCCCAGTGGCGCAGGGATGCGGGCGCGTGTCCTCTTCTTCCCGTGGGCAGCACAGGGTCAGAGACGCCCCATGGGCCCTCTCGTTGGCTCCTGGGCGGCCCGCTGGAAGGCCCCCAGATGCGCTACCCGTGCCCTCGCCAGGCGCTTCCCGTGTACACTCCCCAGCGTTCTAGGGCGCCTCCAGGCGCTCCGATGCGCTCCGGTGCGTTCCCCAGCTCCCCATGGTGCTTCCGTGGTGAACCCTTGCGCTGCCGGGCGCTTCCATGCGCCCCCAGAGCCCTCTCAGGCTCTCCAGGCGCTCCTGGGCGACCCCCACAGCTCCCTCCGTCCTCCTCCTCCTCCTCCTCCTCCTCCTCCTCGTCCTCCCCCCCTTGGGCTCTCCTCGAGCTGCCATTGCCGGCAGCCGCCACGGGCTGGGATGATGGAGCCTCCCAGCCCTCCTCTTGCTGGTTGGGCCTCGCAAAGAGTTGAGACTCTCCTGTAGGCTGATCACGAACCTTGCCCATACCTCGAAGAAGAAAAACGCCATAAGCATAAACTTTTGACGCTCTGCGCGGATTTCTTGGATCCGCGCTGGGCCCCCCGGCGGCGCCGCGCCAGGGACGGGGGTCCAGCGCAGATCCAAGAAGTTCGCGCGGAGCGCCAAAAGTTTATGTTTTGTTTTTTGTTTTTTACACTTCTCCGGCGTCACCTTTTTTATCACGTGGACCCCCAGAAGTCTGGATCTCTCTCCAGGGACCTGGCTGTACATTCTGATTCCAAACCGTCCTGTGGTGTTGGGTCCCCATTCGGAAGAGACAGTGCCCCGCGTCCTCCTTCATTCGCCTCCTTCGCCTCCTCCTCCTCCTCCTCCTCCTCCTCCTCCTCCCATTCCCCCATTCCTGCCTCTTCTCTCCGCGTGCCCATGTGGGTACACGCCTCACACGTTTCGTGGCCCCACAGGGAGCTCCACCGAGGCCCCAGCGACAGGGTCCGCATGGCGGCCCCGCAACGATTTCGGCACACCCCTCACACGTTCCGTGGCCCCACGGAGCTCCATCGACGACACCAGCGGTCCGCATGGCGGCCCCGCAACCATTACGGCACACTACATCCACGTTCCGTGACCCCGCAGGGATTTGCCCCTTTTTCGTCCTACCTGCCTTGCTGCGCTCGCGCCCGCACATGGTTGGGTCTTTCGCCGGAACAATTGTTGTTTCACGGTTTCTGAGGCCCAGCAAGGGCCCCCGAAGCCAACAATTGCGAACCACCGTCGCTCATGTTTTACCCCGTATTCTAAGATGGGGTTCTTGTTATTACTTGGACGCCTCCTACTCCTTCCTCCTCTTCTTCTCCTCCTCCTCATCCTCCTCATACCCAGACTTACTCATACACATACTTACTCATACCCAGACTTCTTCATGACACAGAAAGCTCACACCCACTCAAATCCATACCCAGTCATAGTCATACCCACTCCCACTCGTACTCGTGTACATTCTTTGCGGTACAGCTCGTTTCCTCCCACTTGGACTTACTCATGCTCCGATATACTCATACCCAGACTCACTCATACACACACTTACTAATACTCAGACCTACTCATACTTAGACTCACTCATACTCGGACTTACTCATGCTGAGACTCACTCATACCCAGGCTTACTCATACACAGACTTACTCCTACTCAGGCCTACTCATATTCAGACCTTCTCATTGTTTGACTTACTCAACACGCAGCAGATTGTCAGGATCTCTCAGGCGGGGCGATGGTTTCAGCACCTCCACGGGGAGCCGCCAGGGGTGTTTTCACGGTCCCGTTCGCAGCAATTTTGTGGGGATGTCTCTCGCTTCTGCCCCGGCTTTGGGTCATGTCGGGCAAGGGCATACGGGGCTGACGGCGGAGCGGGGGGAACCGCGTGCGCTCGGCGTTTCCCCGAAGAGAGCGCGCGCCGACCGCGGCCCCCCCCCGCGGAACGTGCGCTTTGCGAGCGCGGCGAAAGCGCGTGTTATTCTGGCTTTCTGTTTGTTTCGGCGGCAGGCGGCTATGGGCCTGCCTCGTGCCGCCCCAGGAAGGCACCCGCTGGGCGAGGCCGCCGGCGCAGTCGGCGAGGCCAGACCGGCGGACGCGATGCAGCAGCGCGCGGCCCGGGTAGGCTGGGGTACCGCGCGCCAACACCCGCTGGGCCCGCGCCCGGCACCCGGGTCCCACCCCCTCTACAGCCGCGGGGGGCCTATCGGCCCGCCGTCTGGGAGCCCCGCCCGGCCCGCCCCCGCCCTGGGGCCGCCTCCCGGACACGCTGCGCCGCCGCCAGGCCAGGGCGCCTTCCCGGCCGCCGCCCGCGTCGCACCCCCACCCGGCTTGGTGCTCCACCAGCCGGACCGCCCCGGCACAGGGGCCGCCCAGCGCCCACGCCGCGCCGCCGCCTCGGCCGCACCCAGAGGGCGCCCTCGGCCGGCGCCCAACCAGGGGCGCCAGGGACACCAGCGGCGAGCGGGCCTCCCTCTGAGGCCCTCGTCCTCCGCTTCGCCGACAAGCGCAAGCACCTGCTGCAGCGAGTCCTGCCGCGCTGGGTCCGTGTCCTGCGTACCGTCGGAGGGAGCACCTGGACCTGGAGGCTCTCTGAGCGCCTCGGCCCCGACTTCGGGCCGCGCCACCAGGAGCGCGTCCTGCGGCGCTGGTCGGCCCGCACGCTCCTCATCCACGTGGCGAACATCGAGAAGTTCCTCGACTGGGCTTCAGAGGAGCGCCCCGGGGGCGACCACGGCAGCTTCCAGGACCATGCGGCAACGGTCGAGCTCCTCGTGAGGTATGTCATGGACTTGCTGGACGGGGGAGCCGCCCCCACCATGCCCGGAGCACGGCTGCAGTCGTTGCGATTTCTCGATCGCGCAGCCGGGCTAGCGCCGCCGCTCCCGGCTGGCGAGGTCTGCGTCCAGCACCTCGCGCTGGCCCGAGCACGCGAGGCGCCAGCGTTCGCCAGGCTGCCCACCATCTACACAGCAGACCAAATCCGCAGGCTCGAGCGGGCAGCCGCGACCTTGCGGAACCCGCTCGACAGGGTGGTTATCCGCACAGAACTTCGGAAACTGTTCGCCGCGCTGCGGAACGACGCTGCGGTGTGGGACAAGTACGGAAATTGGAAACAAGAAGGCACCGCGGACGGGGGCTGCCTCTACGGCACCGCACACAAGACCAAAGCAACCGAAGCCACGGCGACGCGCCTGCGAGGAGGCATGCCGTGGATCGCCCCCCTGCGAGGCATTTTCCAGCCGCCCTCAGGCTGGGCTCACGGCTACTCCGCAGACCTCAAAGCACTTGGCCTCTCAGAGGATGCGGAGTTCGCGGTCCCCTCACCGCAGCGCCTCTCCGCGGGAGCGACGCCCGGCGCGGCCGAACCCGACGAATGGGTAGTAGCCATGCGGCGCGCCCTCAGGGCGGCAGGCCTCTCACCCCAGAGGCCAAGGGCATCGGCCTGCACTCTGCGAGGCGCACCATCTTCACGTGGGCTGGCAGCAGTGGCATCTTCACCGACCGCGAGCTCGAGGTGCTGGGGCATCACCGCTCCGCTGGGGTCGGCAGAGTCGTTTGCGCTTGCAACGTCACGGTGATGGCGGCGCCAGTCTCAAAGCTGCGGCAACTGCTCGAACACATCGTGCAGGGCACCTTCCACCCAGACGCGCCAGCCGGAATGCAGTGGCGTGATGGCGCCCGTTTTGCCAGCCAGCCCGCGGCGCCAGCGCCCGCTGCCGCGCCGTCGCGCGCCGAACCCGTCCCACCGGCCAACGCGCCCGCGGCCGCGTCAGCCGTCGGCCAAGCCGGCACTGGCACCGCGCCTGCGCCGCAGCCCACCCCTGCCCGCAGCCAGGCGGCCGCGCAGCTTCCCGCGAGCGCAGCGCCCTCCGCGCAGGTGCGCAGCTTCCGGGAACGCGGCCCGCCAGGCAACGCAGCTGCCCACGGCGCCCGGCAACAAGAGGCGACTGGCGCCTTGGCAATGGGTGCCGCCACGTCGCCGCCCGCAGCTGCCGCGCTGCTCCAGGCGAGGCCGCGGACAGCCCAGGCGGGTGGCAGCATCCCGTGGACAAGCTCGGGTACCTCGTCGCCGTTCCCACCGGGCTGTGCAAGTAGCACGCAGCCATCCCCGCAGTGCCGCCCTGCCCGCCCACAGAGCGGCCGCGCTCGCGCCAGCGCAAGGAACGCCTCGTCGTCGAGACGCCGAACGGGCCCGTGACGAACCCGTGCGATTTCGCGGTGAACCAGGCGAAGTGGTCCCTGCAGCCGCCGGGCCCCGCGTGCGTCATCTGCAAGGTCTGCCGAAGGTGAGGGCCCGGGCGGGGGCTGGTGGGCCGCCCGTGCGAGCGTGGGAGCTGGGCAGCAATTGTAACGGCGTGGCGAGTCCAGTGAAGTGAGACCGCCGGCCCCGCCCCCCCTGTATGCGCGCCGGCTGGAAGGGGGCCCTGGCCCCGCAACGCCCAGGTCGTCTCTGGATGGCGCCCGCGCGCGCTGGCGGGGCGGGCTGCCGGGCAGCCCCCCTTCGGGCGCGCGCGCGCGCTGTCGCCGAGTGGCCGGGGGTTGTGGGTCTACCCCTCCTCCTTCTGGCGCGCTCCCAGGAAAGAGGACTAGTAGAAAGACACAAAGGCAAGCGGGAATAGCTGGGGGAACAGCTTAGGCATGGCGCCGTCGCGCTCGGCCCTACCGCGGAGAGTGCGCCGGCGTGCGCCGACGGGCGGTCCGCCGGGCGGTCCGCCGTCTGGCGGGCCTCTTGCTCTGGTGGCGTGCGCAGGCGCAACCCCGCGCGGGGCCGATCGCGGCGCTGGCGCCTCCCCTCCCCAGCGTCGTGGGTTCGGAGGGGGGCCTTGCAGGGGCGGGCAGGCAATGTCCCGCGGGGCGCGGCCTGGGCCGGTGCCTGGGCGGTGCCCCCCCCCCCCCATCGGTGGTGGCCTGCGCGGGGGGGCGTTGCCTGCCCCGGCCAACCTGTGGCACTCCAACCTCCGCCACTCAGTCACTGCGCCGCCGCCCAGCGGGGTCCGCGCTCGGCCCTCTCCGCGCGGCCCTGGTGGGGCCCTGCCCGTGTGGGGCCGGTCGGTCCGCGGCGGTCTCCTGGTCCTGGGTTCTGGGCGTTGGTCGGCGGCCCTGTGTCTGTGCACTTTCTTGTGCGCCCGCGCGCAGCCGCGTCTCCCTGGAGCTGCCTGCGCCCGCGCCCGCCCCCCCCGCCGCGCCGCCACCGGGCAGCATCATGGCCGCGTTCGCCGAGTGGATCGCGGAGCTGCCGCAGCAGGTCCGCGAGCACCTCGCCACGGCGGGGCTTGACAACGCTGCGCTGGTCGTGGAGGGCTATCAGAGCAGATGTTGAGGATGTCTCAGGCGGGGCGCTGGTTTCAGCACCCCTAAGGGGAGCCGCCAGGGGTGTTTTTTTACGGCCCCGTTCGCAGCAATTTTGTTGGGATGTCTCAAGCGGTTTGCCGCTTGTTTTCTGTCTCAACATCCTCGGCTATCAGGGCAGTTTCTGAGGATATCTCAGATGGGGCGCTGGTTTCAGCACCCCTACGGGGAGCCGACAGGGGTGTTTTCACGTCCCGTTTGCAGCAATTTTGTTGGGATGTCTCAAGCGGTTTGCCGCCTGTTTTCTGTTTGAACATCCTTGGCCATCATAGTAGATTTTGAGGATATCTCAGGCGGGGCGCTGGTTTCAGCACCCCCAATGTGAGCCGCCAGGGGTGTTTTCACGGTCCCGTTCGCAGCAATTTTGTGGGGATGTCTCAGGCGGTTTGCTTGTTTTCTGTCTTAACATCCTTGGCTATCAGAGCAGATTTTGAGGATATCTCAGGTGGGGCGCAGGTTTCAGCACCCCCAATATGAGCCGCCAGGGGTGTTTTCACGGTCCCGTCCGCAGCAAATTTGTGGGGATGTCTTAGGCGGTTTGCTTGTTTTTTGTTTTAGCATCCTTGGCTATCAGAGCAGATTTTGAGGAATTCTCAAACGGGGCGCTGGTTTCAACACCCCTCAGGGGAGCCGCCGAGGGGTATTGCACGGTCCCGTTCGCGGCCGTTTTGTGGGGATGCCTCAAGCGGTTTGCTTGTTTTCTGTCTCAACCTCCTCCGCTTTCGGAGCAGATTTGGAGGATGTCTCGAGCGAGGCGCTCAGTCCCATCCTAGGTGGGCCAGATTTGAGGATGTCTCGATCGGTTTGCTTGTTTTGGTTGCCAGACTCGTGGGCACATATTCTCTCCCCAGGATGCCACAGGAGGCTCCAACAGGCTCCAGGAGGCCCCGGGAGGCCACATTAGGTCCTCGGAGGCATCAGGAGGCCATAGAAACATTCAAGGGGCCACATGATGTCCCAAGAGGCTCCAGGAGGCCCCAGGAAACTCCAGGAGGCTTCAGGAAACTACAGGAGGCCCCAGGAGGCCTCAGGAAGCGCCAGGAACCTTCGGAAGGCAACAGGAGGCCCCGAGAGGCCCTAGGAGCAAGAGGCCTCAGAAGGCAACAGGAGTGGCTCCAATCTCATGCGTTTTACGTATACTCCTATAGATTGGGCTTCGCCTGGAGCACGAATCCTTGATGTTATGCATATGTGCCTATGTATTGTCCTTCTCCTGTGTACACAATCCTAACTGTTTTACTTATGTTCCTATCTATTTGACCTCTCCTGGGGCACGAGTCCTTGGTGTTTTGCGTCTGTTCCCATGTATTGCCCTTCTCCTGTGGCTCCAATCCGCAATATTTTATGTACGTCTGTCGCAATAGATTGGGCCTCTCGTGGGGCACGAAAGACCTCGGAAACGATGGGGGGACGAACTCGCCAGCTTCCTGCGGGCCGAAGGGCATGATGTGCAATATGGGAACTGGATTACTTACACTGGCAATTTCCCGCTCTGGAGCTCTCTCGAAGACAAGTTCGCGAAGCAGAACATCTGAGGCACTGCGGTGCCAACCACCCTCGCCCCGCGTAGGGCCGGGCTCTGCCCGCTTAGGGGTGTCACTCACTCACTCACTCACTCACTGGGGCACGAATCCTCCCTAGGAGGTCCCAGGAGACCCCAGGAGGCCCCGAGAGGCTCCTGGAGGCCCCAGGAAACCCCAGTAGGTTTCAGGAGGCCCCAGGAGGCCCCAGGCTCATGCGCAGAGACGCGCTCGTACTATTGAGGCTCATTCACACTCCAATTCATTCGCAGTTAGATTCATGACCAGACCGTCGCAACTGAAGCCCGACTATATTCGAAAACTCTTGCGCCTCGACATTCACGGCGGACAGGTCCATGCGAATACATGCACATATGGGGAGCTCCACGCAGTGAGTAATTGTCTCGGTGCGAGGGTGCCTGGGTCCTCCGCGATCTGATGTTTCCCCTCCTGGAGGCTCCGGCATGCACGTGGACCAGTGCCTCTGGTCCAACGTGGGCAGGAACTGGTGCGGCTTCAAGCTCTTCGCCCTCTGGCCGTGGACGGAGAGGCCCCCCCGGCGCCCCGGGGGGCCTCCAGCGAAGAGGGGGCGGGCAGGGCAGGTTCGCCGCGAGGCGCACGGGTGCGGAGGGTAAGCAGGTCCTCCCTGTTTTTCTCCGGTTGTGGGCGCTCGGGGTCTTCACGGGCCCCGGCGCCGCCAGAGCGCGACTCGGAAGGAAATGTTGGCCTTGGAGAAACGAAGAAGAACAAACGCCATAAACATAAACTTTTGGCGTTCCGCGCGGACTTCTTGGATTCGCGCTGGGATCCCCTCCCTGGCGCGCCAGGGGCGTCGCTGGAGGCGCCGCCGGGGGGGGGTCCAGCGCAGATCCAAGAAATCCGCGCGGAGCGCCAAAGGCTTATGTTTAGCGCGTTTTTTCTCCCTCCTGCCTCTAGAGCAAGCCCCCCAGGTCCAGCACCCGTTTCCATCTGGACCCGTTTCCTTCATGCCAACGGGTCGGGCATATGGCCAGCGGCAGCGGGTGCCCAGCCCGCGGGCGAGGGCTCCACTGCAGTCGCAGGGGGACGTTTGGGGATCGCTCTTGTCCTCCTCCCTCCCCTTCTCCTCCTCCTCCTCCTTCTCCTCCTCCTCCTCCTCCGCCCCCTCCTCTTTCTCCTTCTCCTCCTCCTCCTCCGCCTCCTCCTCCTCCTCCTCCTCCTCCTTCCAGCTCCCCCTCCCATCCCTTCTTCTCCTCCACCTCCTCTTCATCCTTCTCCTCCTCCTCTTTTTTCCCCTCCTCCTCCCCTTCTCCTCCTCCGCCTCCTCCTCCTTCTCCTCGTCGAAAATTACGCAGGTGCACGCCGGAGCACGCGAGGACACGCGACAAACCCCAAGATGGCCTGGAAGTCGGGGCTGTGGTCTTCTCATAGCGTGCTCCTCTCGCTTCGCGGGGTGCACGTCTGGAGCACGTGAAGACTGGGCGTTTGGTGGTTTGCCCTGCTCGTGTCGTTCTGTCCGCCCTGTCGTGTCGCTCTGCCCGCCCCAGGACGCTGGCAGCGCCACGCGCCCCCCCCGTTTTAGCGCTGGGACGAGCGTGCGAATGTCTTTTGGAGGCCCAGAAAGGGGTTCACCACGTGTGGTCGACGAAAGTGGGCTGACTCCTGGGGAAAAGGGGGGGTGGAGGGAGGCTACCTAATGATGTAAACTAGTACAACCTGCAGCGTTAAATAGTAATTGGATACGTGGGGTGCGTAGCATCATCGCCTCCGCAGACCTGCCTCCGGCAACGCGTTCTTTCCGGACGAAGATCATAATAACCAAAGCCACTTCCGCCAATACCATGCGGATATGAGTATGCACTTATATTCATGATCGACTACACGCAGAGTCGCCTATTTTGACCCCTTCGTAAGAAGATCAATTCTTGCTTAGCCACTTGAGCCATAAAAATCAGAACAAGCTAGTTTCATAAGATCGTGCTCGCGGAAGCATTCATACTTGCACTCACTCCCTCCAATATCCATTCGTATTCAGACTTCGTAGACTCCATCCACGCATGCTGAACCATTCATAATTAAAGTTATGCCCTGTTCACCTGTATGAAGACGCACTCGCATCCAGATCCACTCATACCCAGACCCAGTCATAATTATTTAAACTCACTTGTGGTCAGAGCCGCTTACACCTGGACCGAAACATTGCTAGATTCGCTCATACGTGTTCACCCATGCTCATGCTCCTTCACGTTCCGAGTCACCAGAAGTCCGGGACCCATCCCCAATGTGACTCCCAGTATTTCTCGCACATGCCTGAACACTGAGGCAGGAAGGGGCCACGAAAGAGTCTCGCATATAGGGATCTCCCATTTTTGCTCTGCGCCCCCGTGTCTCATTTCGTTAGAAAATCGTGGGAGCCTGGTGTACCCTCTTGATTCCGTTTTTAGTGTCGACTAGCGTCGATCAGCTTCTGGGAGGCGATGACAGCGCCGATTTAGCGTCGGTTAGCGTCGCTTTGCGTCGATTTAGCGTCGATTTAGCGTCGATTAGCGTCGATTCGCAAGAGCCGACAAGACGGTATGGGAGGCTCCCATGAGTTGCCACCGAAACCGCCTGGCCCAGTGGTTATCAGTCTTCTCGATGACTTGGGCTGGGCTCCTGTCTGACTGCAGACAGGTTTCCCCGATGAGTTGGGGCCGAACAATCGCCAAAGATCGCTGGGATCGGGTGGCTGCGGCTGCGGGGAGCGGTCGTCGAAGCAGCGCCCCTGGCGCCTCGGTGAACCCGTCGTGATCCAGCTGCTCCGTCTCGCTGTCGGCGGCGAGCGAGGGGGGGAAGTGAGAAGGAGAAGGCGTTTTCAGAAGGCGGCGGGACTTCTCAGAAGCCGTCGCGCCTTCTGAGAGGTTTTTTTTGTGTCTTCGGGGAAGGCTTCGAAAACTTCTCAGAAGGCCAGGGGACTTCCGGGCCTTCAGAGAAGACCCCCCCCTCCTGAGCAGGCCCCCCGGGCTCCCAAGCTCCTCATGCATCTGGGCTGAAGGACGCCGTCATGCATCGGAACCGCAGTGCACCACAGCGCTCAGAGGAGGCGTGGCCACGTCGAGAAGAGGAGGGGGGGAAACCGCCCGCCCCGCCGTACGCCCGCCTCCCCTTCGGGCACCCCGCTCCAACACCCCGCCGCTCCGCCCCGCCCCGAGCACCTTCCGAGAAGGCCGCCGGGCTCCCGGGTGCTGCCGCTGGCGTCCCAGAGCGGCGGGACCGCCACGGGGCCAGGCCCGCCGAGGGCGGCGCGCCGGGGCGCCGGCCCGCAGGCACAGCATCATCGACGACGCCGGCAAGGGCACCGTCTTCCACCTGCCCCTCTCGGAGCCTGAAGGAGGAGGAGGAGGAGGAGGAGGAGGAGGAGGAGGAGGAGGAGGAGGAGGAGGAGGACCCAGACCCCTTCGCGGTGTGACAAAATCACGACGGGAGGCTTTTCGCTACTTTTGGGCCTCCGGGGGCCCTCCCGTGGCCTCCGGACCGTTAACAGAACGGCTCAGGATGAAAAACCGGTCCCGGGGAAGGGGTCCAGACCTCTGGGGGTCGACGTTGTGAAAGAATCACGACGTCGGGGGTCTGGGTCTCTTACGTTAGGCGCCCGAAATTCGGCGACGAGCGAGGGGGGGAATTGAGAAGAAGGGAAGGCTTTCTCAGAAGGAGGCGGGGCTTCGCAGAAGCCCTCCAGCCTCTTGAGAGAATTTCTTTGTCTTCGGGGAAGGCTTACTGCCAGCTTGTGATTCACAAAAGGCCCCCCCCCTGGGGCTGATGAATAGACCCCTCGGGGCGCGATAGTTTTTTAAGTCACGCGCGCCAGGGGGAAGGAGGAGAGAGGAGGGGGAGGGGTGAGAAGGAGGAAAAGGAGGAGGACGAGGAAGAGGAGGAAGAGAGGGAGGAGGAGGAGGAGGAGGAGGAGGAGGAGGAGGAGGAGGAGGAGGAGGAGGAGGAGCATCAGGCACGCTTCCGCCGTGGCGACGACGAGAGCGGCCGCTGGAAACGGGCGCAGGCTGACGAAAGGCTGGGGAAGGGAAGTGGGGGTTGCAAAGCCTGCTGCGCGCAGCTGGTTTCGGTCGCCCCGCCGAAAGGCCAGTCCTCGACGCATGGCCGCTTTCGGCGCCAGGAGGCGGGTGGAAAATTGGCGACGTGAGCTGCTTGGCAAATTCCCCCTTTGCTGCACTTTCGTCCAGCCCGACTTGCCCGCAGGTCCGCATCGGTTCGACAGAAAGAGGGGCGCCCTGGCTCGCCCTTGCCTCCAAACACCCCCCATTTGCCCCTCGTTGGCGGCCGGGCGTCGGCGCTAATCACCGGCGCCGCCCCGTTGATTTTCAATCTGGCGGGCGCCGCCCCGCAATTCGCCCGTTCTAGCGCGCCCCCCACGGATTTGTTAATCACAAGCTGATGAGCCTTGTGAGAAGGCCTGCCCCTTCTCACTTCCCCCCCAGGTTCGCCGCCGAGGGAAGGAGGTTTGGGAGCAGGAGGCGGTGGAAGTAAGGCCAGATGTGAGTTGTCGAGAGTCATACGGAAGCGCACGCTTCTTTCCGCTGCTTTCTGAGCCACGCGCGCGCGCGTTCACGTTGATCTTTGCTTGTTGACAGAGTTGCGTCCTTGATAGAAACGGCCCAAGCGGCCATCTGGCATAAATCCCGGGTCCCAACAGATACGGAGACACAAGTTCCAGGACCCAAGACGGTTTTCGCATCGGGAAGCGTGGAGTGACAGATTTGGCGAAGAGCTGGTGTTGTTTTAAGCTTTTCCGCTGGGGGGCATCAATTCGGGTGTAGGCAGGGTGTGCCTTTCATGGATCCCGTCGGCGGGACAGGGTCTTGGACGCATCGGAATTTCGTCTCCAGCCCGTCGCCGCGTTGTGAGTTTGGACGCGCAGCTTGGTTCCACTGCCGTGCAACATGTCCTGTGCAACCCTGTCTGTCGCTGGGCTTGCTGCTGATGCTTCTCCTCTTCGGCAGCCTCCTCCCTCTCTTTCAGGTCTTCTCGCGTCACCGCACGCTGTCTACACCCGCTCATGTTTGCTGCGCCCGCCCTCTCCAGATCTGCTCCCGAGTGAGGCGATTCCTCTCGTTCCCCCGTGCCCCTCTCTGTTATTCTTGTCCTAGCTGGGCGGTCGCCTGCAGTGTGTGCCTTCCCCCAAGTCAGTCTTCGACAATGTCTTGGCCTGTTCTCGCCTGACGCGCCCTGTCGCCCCGATTCGATGTCCTCGCAGCGCCCCCGCGTGCAAGGAGCGAGACGTGGGACTGCTTCGCCGGGCCGTGAAGGTGGCGCTGATTCGCCCTGGAGACGTGTGGGTGTTCAGCGGCGGCCAGCCGCACACCGCCCTCTGCGTGGGCGACGGTCTCAGCATCACCGCGTACGAGTCCCTGGTGCCGGCGCACCCGGACGCGGTCGCTGGCTGCCCGCAGCTGGGTGTGTGTGTGTGTGTGTGGCCGGACACTGTGTCGGCCTTGACAGCTGCGGGGCTTTCGGCCCGAGGCATTGGTCTTCGGTGCTCCCCGAGGGGGGCGTGGACGGGGAGGCTTAGAGAGAACCTTTGGAGGGTTCTTGAGTTTCCATGGGGTTCCGAGATGACCATGTTTTCGTCGCGCTTTCCGTTCCCGTTGGGATTGTGTGGCGTTCGGAAGACTCCGTGTAAGAATAGCGGGTTCCTGGCTTGTTGACCCCGAGCGCAGGACGGACTATAGGTCGGGGTACACCTTGCTTGCTTTTTGGGATGACCAGGTAGCCCAAATTCTCCGACTGCCCTTTTCGATGTCTTTGGCTCGTCTCGCCCATCCTCGTCTCCAACGTGTGGAGGTTGGGAAACGTTCCTGACACTTGCTCCACGTATCCCATGCCGTTACAGGGGACGAAGATGGGGAATGGAAGATCGGATGGGGATCAGGATGTGTAGGCTCGCCATCTGGTTGCTGAATCCGAACCCTGTCCCCGAGGGCATCGTGGGGAAGAGCCGCGGAGCGCAAGAGATGGTTTGATTCGATGAGGCGGTCATGGCAGGGTCGCCACAGGCAGAGAGTCCTTCCAACTGTTCGTCGTGTCTGCCCTCACGCGGCTTACCGCACCTCCCTTCGTTCGCTCTCCTCCCTAGCAGTCTTGCTCGCAGGGCCGATGGAGAGGGGGAGGGGAGGCGAGGGAGGGAGGGGGAATGTGAGGGGAGTGGAGAAAAAGTGAAGAGGTAGCGGACAGACGGGGAGGGTCGCGGAGGAGATGGTGCCAGGATGGCCTACGTTTGATTGAGGTTCATGTCCGCTTAGATCAATCATGTACTGTTCTTTCTAACCCAGAGGGCAGATCTTCTGTTGCGGACCGATCCGCCTGTGTTCAGTGGCAGGAGGCGTGTATTCGCAATGCGGGTCAAAGCACAGTTGTGCTGTTCTTTGAGCACTTTGCAAAACCAGATGCCAAGCTTCGGGTGCATAACAATTGCATGCGTATGGCGGAGGACGGGGAGGGGGGGGTATTGAGGAGGAGGAGGAGGAGGAGGATGACCATGAGGATTGGGGGAGGCAGCAGGATGGACGGGGGGCGCGGGCTGGGTGGCCTCCAATGAGGTGGGCTTGCTGGTCCGGTCCAACTGCAGCAGTGCGCACAGGCAATTTGCTTCTACCCCGATCTGCAAGTATTCCCCTCGATTGTTTGCTTCCATGCCGCTATCCTCAATAGCTTTCGGATATTTCACCTCACCTCTGCTTTCGATATCTTCTTTTATCAGAACAAATACGGAGTCTGCAATTTGGCATTCATGCTGACGTATGCAACATGTAGCGGCGTCCGCCCCATCCCGCCACCGTGCCTGGGTTGAGAGCCAGATGCCTCTTGGATGCATGTTGGGGTCTCTTGGGATGCCCCTTGTGGGCCTCTTGGATGCCTCTGGGTGGCGTCTTGTAAGTCTCTTCGGTGCCTCTTGGGGCCTCGAAGGCGCTTCTAAGGGGGTCTGGGGTAGTGTGTGTGGGTGCATGTTGTCGTGTCTTCAGGGTGCTCTTTAGGGAAACGACTTCTAAATTTCCTTCGCTTTCCTTCTCTTGTGGCCCTTTCGAAGCACTTTTGGATGCCTTTTGGGCCGTCATGGGGCCCTCTTGCGCCGTCTTGGGGCCCTCGTCTGTCTTCTTGGGTCCTCTTGGAGGGCCTCTTGGCCGTGTCGGGGCGATCTTTGGGCCTCTTGGGACTCCTCGGGGGGGTCGGAAGCCCGAACAGGCGAGAGAACGCGCAAATCTTTCGAACACCTCACGAGGAGAATCGGTGACCTTAGCCTCTAGGATCTCCTTCTGGGATTCTCCATGGGTCCCTCTTGGTGCGTCTCAAGGGCGTCTTGGGCCAGCTCTGGGTGTTTTTCCCTACCTAGGCTCTGCCTGGAAGGGTTCTTACTCTCTTGGCTTCAAGGGGTTGGGCAGTGGGAACCGGCCCGGGCGGTTCCCCCAGTATCCGCCCCGCGGTTCCCCCAGTTACGTCCCTTTAGCTTAGCGTTGCTTATCTCATCTTAGCTTAGCTTATTTCATCTTAGCTTAGCTTAGCTTCATCTTAGCTCAGGTTGATCTTAGCTTAGCTTACCTTCATCTTAGCTTCGCTGAGCTTTAGCATAGCAGAGCACAGCATAGCATAGCATAGCGTAGCATAGCATAGCGCAGCATAGCATATCATAGCATCGCCCAGCACAGCATGGCATAGCGCAGCATAGCATAGCATATCATAGCAGAGCAGAGCATAGCATAGCATAGCAGCAAAGCAAAGGCAAATCAACAGCAGCGACAGCAAAGCAAAGCACAAGCAACGCAAAGCAAAGCAAAGCAAAAGCAAAAACAAAACAAAGGAAAGGCAAAGCAAAAGCAATGTGCGACAGATGCCGAGCTAGCCTCGATGGCTGGACCGGAGCCCCCGCAAGCAGTGCCTTCCATAACCATTTCGGCTCAAGTCAGGAGGCCCTGCCACACAGCCGCCCACGCTCATGTCCCGAGGTTGTCGGAGTGAGGCGTTCAGCGGTGCTGCACAGCCCGCCTCGGCACCAGGTGGTGCTGCACAGCCCACCCGGCCTGTTGTGGCCTGTTGTGTAGCATAGCATAGCAAAGAATTGGTCAAACAATGTATGGGCGGTCGTGGCCGTCTCGGGGCCCTCTTGGGCTGTCCCGTAGCTCTCTTGGGACCTTCTTTGGCAGTCTTGGAGCTCGCTGGCCTCGGGAAGCGTCACCGCGTGAGTTACGCCGGGCTGCCCCAGGAGCAGTGCGAGAAGCTCCTCTTCCTCCTCCTCCTCGTCCTCCTCCTCCTCCCCCTCCCCCCCCCGCCGTGCGCGCTCTGTGGTACAGCCCGGAGCGTGAGGGTCGGGGACCCTTGGAGAGTATCTGGTGTACCCAATACGGAGAACCCGAAGGAACCCGAGGACTCCGCTCAGTGCCCAAGGTACGGCTGGCGGACAGTTCGTGACGAGTGATGGCTCCGACTGTTCGAACGCCAACTTGTGCGCGTGGTAGCCGTGTCGCGGAGATCGCAAGCCAGGTGTGCGTTTTGCTGAACATGCCGTGCAAGCGTGGCCAGGCTCTACGCATGCGAAGTGGGGTTTGCCCTGAACCATAAAACACGCCAGGTTTTTCAGATAGTCGAGGGCCTTTTGACGGAGATTACCCAGGACAAACGTATTCACTTCCTTACATCCGTGCACAATTACATACAAACATGCATACACGCATACAAACATACATATATACATACGTACATACATACAACCATAGAAAACATGCGTCCATCCATCCATCAATCCACTTCATTCGTACATACGTTCGTACATATGTACGTATACACATACATATATACGTACACGTACATAGATACATCAATGCACACATACATACCTACATTCAGGCGTACATACATACACACATACATACATACATACATATACATACATACACCCATGCACACATACATACATGCATACACACATACATGCATATTTACTTACATACATACACATACACACATACATACATCCATCCATACATCCATACACCAATCCATCCAAAAACCATTCATACATACAGACACACATACATACATACATGCGTGTATGTATACATACATGCATGCATGCATACATGCATGCATACATACATACATACATACACGCATACATACGTATACACATACAAATGTACAAACAATCATATGTACATACACCCATGTTTTTTATATGTCCTATACAGCTGTTGTACATGTTATACGCATGCTATCTGTTATATGCTATATCGAGGACGCCGGCGGCGCATCACCGGCCGCTCCCTGGGAGTTTGCCGAAGTGGTGTGCAGCATCGAAAGTCGTGGCGCGGCGCGTATGCCAGCTATCAAATGGCCGTCGGCCCATCCCGCGGCCGTGCTTGGGTTTTGGGTCGGAGTCCTCATGGACGCTTCTTGGGGTCTCGAGAGGGCTCTCGGGGGCCTCTGCGGGGGAGTTAAGGGGCCTCTTGGGGGCCTCCTGGGGGCTTCTTGGGAGCGTCGTGGGGCCCTCTTGGGGACTCTTGGGGGCCTCTTGGGGGGCTCTTATGTCCTCCTGGGGGCCTCTCAGGGCCGTGTTATCTGTTGTATGCTATTTATATAGGGTTCGCCCTCTGCCGCCAGCCCCCTCTCTCGGATATTGGGTCGTGCAAGAGCTATGTCGTGAGGTCTGGGCGCCGTCTTGAAGCAGTGTCGGAGCCTCGTGCGAGGACGATAAGCAATCGGCAGGAAAGATGTACATCCAGATGCCATTGTTTAATGCGGCGCTTTATTTCGGAATTGCCTCCGCATGCTGTGCATTGGAGGCCCTCTTGAAAGACTGGGGGCTGCTTGAGGCCAGGGTGGGCAGAATCGCGCGGCTGGGGCGGTCTTCGGACTCCTCGGCGTCTCTTGAAAGGCACTGAGCCCTCGGGGGCGCGACTGCGCCGTAATTTACCAGGAATCCTGGCTTCGCGGGCGCGAGTCTTGTGGAAGTTTCAAAGGGCTTATGGCTTCGGCGACGCAACCATTGTGTAATTTACGACGGTTTGTGGCCTCGGGGACGCGAACATGGCGTATTTTATGCAGGTTTATGTCTTGGGGGACGCGAGTATGGTGTAAGTTACGACGGTGGTAATTTTGCAACAATTTCTGGCCTTGGGGACGCAATCGTTGCGGACTTTACGAGGGTTTATGGCTTCGGGGGCGTACACGTGGCGTAATGTACGAAGGCATATGGCCTCGGGGGCGCCATTATTGTGTAAGTTAAAAAAGTTTATGGCCCACAGGGACTTGACTACTCTGTACTTTACGAGGGTTTATGACCTCGGGGACGCGAAGATTGTGTAATGCACTGGGGGTCGTGGCCTCGGGGACGCGATCACAGCGTAATTTACGAAGGTTTCTGTCTTCGGGGGCGCGAATATCGCGCAATGTGCGAGGGCTGTACTTTCCGAAGGTTTTTGGCCTCGGGGACGCGAGCATTGCTGACGTTACGAGGGTTTATGGTTTCGGGGACGCAACTATGGCGTAATTTGCAAAGGCTTATGGCCTTGGGGGGCGCAATTATTGAGTAATCTACAAGGGTGTATGCCCCCAGGGACGCGACTATCATAGAATTTACGCGGGTTTCTGGCATCAGGGACGCGAATCTGGTATAATGTACGGGGGATCGCGGCCCCGGAGGCGCGAATCTCATGTATTTTTACTTGATCCAATGTCTTTCCAGAAACCCTTGACACTTCGCGTCTCCCCACCAGCCCATCCAGAAACGATGCCCATGAGAGCTGGCGGGGGGAGAAAGGAAGATACACGCATAGTCAGAGGGTTTTGGCTTCTTGGCGTCCTCCTGGGGAGGCCCCGTGGCCATCTTGAGCCGTCTTGGAGCGGTCTTGGGGCTTCTTGGAGCATCTTGCGAGCCATCTTGAGCGAGCTTGGGCTGTCTTGAGCCATCTTGGAGATCATTTTGGGCTCTCTGATGCCGCTCGGGGGCCTCTTGGGTGCCTCTCAGGTGACTCTTGGAGGCCTCTTGGGGCTTCTTGGGGCGCTCTTGGAGCTCTCTTGGGGGCCTCTTGGGAGCTCTGGGGGGCCTCTGGGGGCCATCTTCGAGGCGGTCGGTCAAAAGAGGGGGGTACTAAATGTAGCTCCTTCCCCATCGGAGGCCACGATCCTCGTGAGGGCTGTCAAAATTTGGCCCTCCCAGTGGCCGAAAAAGGAGCCTCCGAGACCTCGCGACCTTCCCCCAAAAACCTCAGGGAGGGGAGAGGGAGGGTTCCCCTCCCCTAAGGGAAGAGGGGTTGTGGGAGAGGAAAGAGACCCTCCTTAGACCACCTGTCGCCCAAAGGGCTGGTGGGATTCTGAGAACCCTCCTGGGGGTTGGTAGCCAGGGCACTTTTCGGCTCCCCCCCTCGCGCGGACAGTAACAATTTACTGTAGGAGACAGAAAGCAAGAGGGTAACATTGGAGCTGGAATCTGGAACTGGTGCAGGGTACAGCAGAGACTGGAAACGGGAGCTGGAGCAGGGGGCAGCAAGCCTAACCCTCGCAGCCTGGTGGCCCCACAAGGGGGCCAGCGGATATGCACACAGACAGACAGACAGACAGACTGACAGACAGACAGACAGACAATCAGACAGAACATGACATAACACAACATGACACAACACAGCACAGCACAACACAGCACAACACAACACAACACAACACAACATCACACAGCACAGCGCGGCACAACACACCACAACACGACACAACACAACACGACACGACACAATACAATACAACCCAACGCAACCCAACCCAACCCAACCCAACACAGGACAACACAGCACAACGCACACATATTCCCCAATCAGAGCTTGCCTCTGTAGGGGTCCTAGCTGATTCATTTGGTTCGATTAGCTGCGCCGCCTTTGTTGGCGGCCCGCCCGGGTGCCCGGGTGCCCGGGTGCATGTGAGCTGCGTCGCCGATTTGAGCGGCCCGCCCGGGTACAAGGGTGCCGGGGTGCCCGGATGCCCCATAGCCTTATAGCCCTACAGCCCTATAGCCCTATAGCCCTACAGCCCTATAGCCCTATGGCCCTATGGCCCTATTACCCAAGATCCCAAGAACCCTACAGCCCTATAGCCCTGTAGCCTTATAGCCCTATAGCCCTACAGCCCTATAGCCGTGTAACCCTAAAACACTATTGCCCACTAGCCCAATAGCCCCTCTATACCCCTATAGCCCTATAGCCCTACAGGCCAATAGCCCTATAGCCTCATAACCTAGTAGCCCTATAGCCCTATATCCCTATAGCCGTATAGCCTATAGCCCTATAGCCCTATAGCCCCAGCCCCTATAATCCAACAGCCCAATAGCCCTATAGCCCTCTAGCTCTCTAGCCCTATAGCCCTATAACCCGATAGCCCTATAACCCTGTAGCCCCATAGCCCCAAAACAGATTCTGATTGGAGTTTCTCTCCGGTATTATACTTTCCCCAATCAGAGCTTGCTTCTGTAGGGGTCCTAGCGGATTCATATGGTTAGATTAGCTGCGCCGCCGATTTTGGCGGCCTGCCCGGGTGCCTGGGTGCCCGGGTGCCCGGGTGCCCGGGTGCCCGGGTGCCCGGGTGCCTGGGAGCTGCGTCGCCGATTTCGGGGGCCCGCCCGGGTGCCTGGGTGCCTGGGTGCCCCATAGCTCTGTAGGTTGATAGCCCTATAGCTATATAGCCCCATAGTCCTATAGCCCTACAGCCGATAGCCCTATAGCCCTATAGCCCTATAGCTCTATAGCCCAATACCCCTGTAACCCTACAGCCCTATTGCCCTATAGCCCTATAGTCCTATAGCCCTCTAGCCTCTAGCCCTCTAGCCCTCTAGCCCTCTAGCCCTGTAGCCCTCTAGCCTCATAGCCCTGTAGCCCTATAGCCCTATAGCCCTATAGCCCTTAGCCCTATAGCCCTACAGCCGTATAGCCCAATAACCCTATAGCCCTATAGCCCTAAAGCCCTGTAGCCCTATAGCCCTATAGCCCTAGCCCTTTAGTCCAACAACCCAATAGGCCTATAGCCCTGTCACCCTCTAGCACTATAGCCCCATAGCCTCATAGCCATATAGCCCTATAACCCCATAGCCCCCAGACAGATTCTGATTGGGGTCAACGCCTGAGCTTTCCACCTGCGAAATCTCTGATTGTTTTGCGTTGATTCAGAATGGCTGGGTCGATGGCGCAATGGAACGATGGCAAAATGTGCAAGGAGGCTCGATTAGTCCGCCGCAGTGGTCGGAGTGGAAAAAGGATCCGAGTGGCCAGTGACACCTAAGGCGGCAGAAAAACGCTGCGTGGCTCTGGGTGTGTGCTGGTTGCCAGAGCAGCGACTACACGAAGAACGCGTGCAACACCTGTGGCATGCGCAGGACTCTCGCCGAGGAGGCAGCCATCTCGCCTGGCCAGATGGGAACTTCACCTCCTGCTTCTGGGACTTTTACCTCCGCCGCAGCAATCCCATCAACAAGCAGCTGGCGGAGGTGGCGGCCAGTCTCCAACGTGCGACGTCTGGAGCGGCCATGGCTCCAGCGGCAACCGCGGCCCCAGCGGACCCTGCGCCCGTCGCCGGTGGAGCGCTCCTGTGCCGATGGAGGTGTCGGGGCGTCCGCTGGCGGCCGAGGCGGCAACCACGCCGGCTCGTGCAGAGCTCGCGGCGTCGATCACGCAGATCGAGAAGGCGCTGGCGGCGCTGGAGGGTCACGACGAGTCCTTGCGCGCGCCGCTGCTGACGCAGATGGAGGAGAAGCAGTGGCCCCTGGGCGAGACCAAGCCCGTGGGCCAGCGGGTCGATGGCGCCAGGGCCGCCTTCGAGCGGGCGATCAAACGCCAGGCGGCAGTGGACGAGAGCGCCATGCTGGCCAAAGCGGCGCAGGAGGCCGCTGCCGTGGAGGTGGCTCAGCTGCGCACGGAGGTCGCGCATTTGGAAAAGGCGCGTGCGGCGGGCCGCGGCTCCTCGACGACGTCTTTGCCAAACCGAATATGGTGCAGCTCGAGTCCATGCTGGCCTCAGCGGTCGAGGAGCTCAAGGACTGCAGCCGCGTGAACGAGTCGGCGGTGGCGGAGGCGACCAAGCCGCTTGTGAAGCTGCTGGAGCACTTCAAGGCTACTGTGGGGCTGGCTCACAAGGCAGACCGCCTGCACGCGGAGGGCCCGCGCCGCCTCCAGGGCAAGCAGGAGCCCGCGCTCCCCCCGCCGACCTGACGGCTGGTGGGCAAGCAGGAGGCGCTCACCCAGTTTGGTTTTGTGACAAAGAAGGGTGAGTTGAAGACGGGTGTGCAGAAAACCGCAAACGGCGATCCACTGATGTGACCTTCGCTTCCGCCAAATGTCAACACGTTTCTCCCGTGGCAAGAGGAGTGTGTTTACGCAGAAACTGCTACAGCCTGTATGTTGAGCAAAGTGCAGCTACTTGCGGACCAGTTCGCCGCTGGAGTGCTGGAGCCAAGGAGGACGGCTCCTGCGGATTGCAGATCTGGTTGCGCCGCGGCCATGCGCGCGAGATTTGGGATGCCCTTTTCATCACGACTGATGTATGCAGTTGTTAAAATGGTGTTGGCTTTGGCGTTGTCTGTGCTCGCGCCCCTTCATTTGTTGGCTTCTGAAGCTGAGCGCAACGCATGGTGGGACTTCTTGGGCTGCAAGATGGCCGTCGCCATGCGCGCGATATCCCATTGCATGTACGTGTCGATACTAATGGGCGGGTTCGCTCTGTGTCGTTGCCGATCATAGGTTCGACGTCGAGCAGTGTGGAGAACGATGACGGGATCAAGGTTCGCGAGTTCGCTGAACAACAGCAAATCGTTGTCTCTAGCACGCGGCCTCCGAAGCCGCATCCAGCGTGCTCCGCAGAGGGCCAGCCAGCCGGAGCACGCTGGGGCTTCAAGGGCGTCCAAGTCATGTTTCGGCGAGGGCTTGCCAGAGCATGAATTCCGCTGTGGGCTCAACATGGGGCCGCCGCGAAGATGGGCGCTCGTGGGCGTCCTCCCATGGCGCGCAACATCAAATCGACTTCATCTGTGTCCCTTTGCGTGCTTTGATGATGTGCAGTGCTGCCCGCCGAACTGCGCGGTCGATCTGGCCGTGAACGCGTGAGCGGACCGCGGCGCGGTGGAGTTGCGTACTACTGTTCGCTCCTCTACCGTGGAGGTTGCCGCGGCCACCGGCTAGGCCGCCTGTGTCATGGGCGCCGCGTCGATCGACAATTGGCAGGTGGGGTTTCTGCGTGCTCACCGTGCCCGGGGGCGCCCACGGCTGCCGGCCTAGGGGCTTTGATCAACTACTTGAAGTTGGACTTCTCCTGGTCGTGGCGTGACGTCGAGAATCCCGTCTTGACGACAGTAGAATGCGTTCCGAAAAATGCGCGCGTCGAGGCTTATTGCCCGTTTTTGGCAGTCCAGTGTATGCAAGCTGGACAGCCATTGTTTCTCATCTGGCGTCGCAGAGTCCTGCCCGTGATTCATCGGTAGTCCTGTAGTGGTAGATGGGGGCCGCGCCCCGCGCCGGGAGCTGTGCGTGAACGGGTGCTCTTTTTGGCGGCCGCCGCTGCGCCGCGCGCAGCAACCGCCCAGATTATTGCGTCCTGCTCAACGGGATCTTCCGTCCACCTCGCAACGAGGGCCACGCCGCCTGCTTTGCCGATTTCGTGGGAGATGGGGGCAGTGCCCCGCGCCAGTCGGGCACTCGCGAAGTGCTGTTTGCATTGGTCGTGGTAGAGGACGACGAGTCGCAGATTCTGATCATGGACAAGCCTGTTACTGCGTGCCATTTTTATGGTACCGACATCGACCTGAGTGAGTTAGCGGGCCACTTGCGTACGCGTGCCGGTTCGCAGCGCAAGTGCGTTCGTCGCATCCTGGAGTGCTTCCTCGAGGACAGCCCCGGTCTTATGCCGCGCCAGAAGCAGACGCCATATCGTGATTCAGCGTATTTATTTGGTAATGGAGACGGTGTTGATTAGGAGGGGGTGTATGTGAAATTGGCAGCTCGTCTGTTTGGCGTGCTCTCTCATGTGATGGGAGGCGCTCGACCCGTGCTTGCTGTCGGCTTGTCAGTACTAGGATCTCGCCTGCGCGTTGGTCAGCGCCGTGCGACGCAGCCATCGTCGGCATCGTGTACTACCGCAACGCGTGCCCCAACGTCGTCCAGGCCCTCGCCCGCGGCCAGAGGGGCATCAGCCATATGACCTCGGAGACTTTTGCGGACTGCGATCGCGCGGGGGGCGAGGGAACAGCCTAGGCCTCGTCGTGGGGCCGCGCGGCACCAAAGCTTTTGTTGCACGGCTTGCTGTGAAAATCAAGTCTTCTCGTATCTCCATTGGGGAAGTTGAGGTTGCTGTAGCGTCGGTCGCGTTGAGGTGGCGTGCGCTTCCGCTGGCTTCTGTGCTGGAATCCGCGTTCGTGCCCAACGTTGCGACGATCCTCGCGTTGCCGCGCGGCGGCGCCGAGGTGGCCCAGCATCCATTTCGAGTGTGACGTCTTGCATCTTCCGGGGATCTCTCACAAGCATGTGGAAGGCGGTGGGAATTGTTCGGGCCAGTCGACCCAAGCGCGACCCAACGGCGCCCATGCCAAGCGCGTGCTTTTCATGGGCTTGGTAGTATCATCGGACGACAATGAAGTCATGGCCGTGGTTTCCTACGAGCCGAACAAGGGTTTCAAGCTGGGTGGCTGGCATTGCGTGGGCCCCCCCACGCGCGCCTCGTATTTTTGTGGGCGTGCTTTTTTCCCCACTCGCCCTGCTTGCGGGATTTGCCAGCTTGCGACGCTCTCGCTGCCCCGGCACGGCGCGCTGTCTGTGCTGAGCGTGAGGCCGCTTATGGTGGTGGAGTGTGCGCTGACCTCATTGGGCCGGTACTGCCAGATATCTTCGTGTTCAAGTGCTTGCTCATGTTGCGAGATGAAGTCGCCCGTTGCGCTTTTGTGCGCGCCGTGCCGTACAGGACGGGCTCCGCGGTAGTTGAGGTTTGCAGGGCGCTCGCCGGTGATTCTGTGATCAAGAGAGTGCGGCCCGATTGGGGATGCGAATGTCATTGTCGATTGGGTGCGAATTGCCGCCGCGTAGCTACTCGCGACGAGCGGGGTTTGCCACTTCGCACCACCAACTACTCGAGAGCCGAGCGGTGGCATCGGTCACTGAGGGAGGGCGTGCGCGCAGACTTGTGCCCGAGCGGCCTTTGGCACCAGTGGTGTTCCATGAGCGCCGTGATGCGCGCCGCGCCTTGGAATCGAGCCGCGGCGGCTGCGTGTCTCCGTTTTTCCATTAGCGTTGCTCGCGCGCCAGATTTGGAGTTGCGGCCATCCGTTTCGTTGATCATTCCTTTCGCGGACAGGCTTTCGGCGATCGCGAACCTCCCGAAGTTTGAGTCTCGTGGAGGCTTCGGAATTGTCGCTGGTTATGGCGTTCAGGACAATTCCAGTATCGGGCAAGTAGGATTATTCTTTTGGAAAGGGTCGCAGGCTGTTCAAGAGAGCCCGGGGCGTCAAATTGCCAGTTCACGGGCCCAATTTTCCAGTGCATTATCTTCTCAAGAGTAGGGGGCCTGAAGTTGTGTGCCATTTTCTCCACCCGTGCGAGCAGGCGCCAGACGACGACGTGGAGCTGGGCCCCGCGCTCGGCGACAGGTGCGCCCCCCCCATTCGGGGTTTATCGTTGCGGACCCCGCGACGTGCAAGGCGTGCGCGGAGGGTGCGCCTCGGAGGCGGGCCGCCAGGAAGGCAGCGTCAGAGGTGGGCAGCAACGGGCAGACTTGTATCCCTCGGCGGCGTTATGGCGTGAGCGCTGGGGCCTGACTCGTGCAGTGCCTTGTTGATCAGATGCCGCTGTGTGAGGAGGAAAGCTCTGTTGCCGACGTCGTATTCGGCACTTTGATTGCGCCTGACACGTTGGAGGCTGCTCCGCCCGCTGTTGGCGCAGAGATCTACGAGCCCAAGAATCTCGCCTCGGCGGCCGGCCACGTCGAGAACCAGGTGGGCGAGGGGGGCCGCCGAACCCGTGGTTGCAACCTTGTCTGAGGAGGCGGTGAAGGGGTTCCGCGTAGTCTACATAGCTTTTCCCTTCAAGTCTGCTTCCGCTCAGACGCCAGAGGCTCGGGCCGCGATCGGGAAGGAGTTGGCCGCGATGGGGGGGCTCAAGGGTTGGGGCCCATGCGACGCCGCCATGGAATTGTGGGGTGATCTTTGCGCTCTACATCCCGATGCTCTTGTGGTGTATGCCCATCTTCTACTGGGCTGCAAGGGCGCAGGGTCGTCCGGGCTCGATGTTGGGCCCGCTGCAGGCTTGCCTCCTGAAGTGGAAGGCTCGCGTAGTTGCTGGAGGCGACCTCTTGACCGGCGCGGCCGACGCTGCAGGGGGAGTGACGTGCGTGCCCCGACCAGTCTCGAAGCCGCGCGTTCTGTTTGTTGGTGGGCCACGACGTCGCCAGTGCGCGCGATTCCACGGTGGGATGTGACCGACGCTTCTCTTCGACCTCAGCTCGGAGGGCGGCCGGTGTTGAGTGTTCAGCCGCCGAGCTCATGGCCAGAATGGTGGTCCGAGAAGTGTTGCTAACAGCAAGTGGGGCGTTTACGTGGGGCCTTATGCGGATTTCAGAGGTCCGGATTGCATCGGGCCAAGGGGTCTCGCGGCGCCCCCGCCGCAGCCGACTGGGCTGTCATTCTCGATGTTGTCGACGCAGTGTGCTTGGGGCGGGGCGGCGCGAAGGCGTGCGTTGTGGCGCTGTGCGTTCATGGTATTTTGGCCAGTGGGCCGATCGACGTTGCGCGGGGCCCCTGCCGCTGGGGGCGCCGTGTAACTGCAGGAGGCGCAATGGAAATATCAGTGTTTGTTTGTGCGATGAGGAGGCGCGTGGTTGAGATGGTTTCCTTTGGCGCGCGCAAAATCCGAGGCGAGCGGCAGCGCGAACAATCGTGTTCACTGATGTATGTTGGCCCATTGCGTCGACGAGTAGGTCGGGGCGCCTGGGAGAGGGGGGGTCACTTTGTTAACGGCGTTTCCTTGTTCCTGTGGTCTTTCGCATGAGCTTTGCGTCTTCTTCGGGGCCGTTCCAGAGACGTGGGGCGACCGGGGGGTCCGGGTCAAAAGGCTTCCGACCGAAAGAAGCATTGTAGAGTGAACGTTTTTTGTACATGGGCGCGGCGAGACTTCATATTCCCAGGCCGAGAGTGGCCGCGCCCCTTCAGCGCAGTGTATGTTTGACAAGTT